TTTGTTGCAGAGCATTGGCGTTTGTACTTGAGAGATATATGGAGGAGAGATTGTTTTTTTGCGTTTGTACGTTAGATATATATGGAGGAGAGAGAAAAATAATTATTACAAGAGGACTGCTAAACACAGTCGCAGCTCCTATTGGAAAGTTTTAAATAGATTTGACTTCCTCTCTTTTTATAGTTGTTTCAAGTCACGTATTGGTTAACTGTTGGAAGAACCCCAAACTTTAGCAGAAACCACACAACTGTTGGAAGACTTACCAATTTGAGAGAAAGCTTTTTGTTGATAGAGAAACTAAAAGAGGATAATTTTTTTTTTTTTTTTTTTTTTTTTTTTTTTTTTCATTGGTATTTGACACCATAAATGGCAAACTGAAACTAAAATTATCAAAAACATTTGGATTATGCTGGCCTTTTGTTAATGACTATGGAGAGATAAATAAAAGAGGTATCATGGGTATTATTTGGGTGAGAGTCATCTGCAGAGCAGTGTTGTTTGTACTTAAGAGATATATGGAGGAGATATTGTTTTACCGATAGAGGAGACAGAAGAATAATTATTACAAGAAGACTGCTAAACACAGTCGCAAGTGTGATTATGGATCCGGAGTCGCAGCTCCTATTGGATAGTTTTAAGTGGATTTGACTTCCTCTTTTTTTACAGCTTTTTCAAGTCTCGTGTTTGTTTTCCATCTTTTATTTTTATTCTTTTAAAGGGTTTTTGAACATGTATTGCATTGTTAATATTTTTACTATTTTTATTTTACTTCAAAGCCGCCCATATCATTGATCCACCAGTGAAAAAGAAAGAAAGAATGTGTAATACTAATAAAAAGTATACACAAAATTCATGATATTAACAAAAGATAAGATGGATAAAAAAAAGTAAAATAAAAGTGATAAACATACTAACAATGCAATACATATTCAAAAACCCTTTAAAAGAATAAAAATAAAAAACAGAGTCTAAAAGTGTTCTAGTTTGTAAGGTAATGAGAGAAAAATAGTGAAAAAAACAAACGTTAACGAAGAGTCACTAAAAAGGTAAAAAACCAACACGTGACTTGAAACAATTGTAAAAAAAGAGAAAGTCAAATTCATTTAAAACTATCCAATAAGAGCTGTGATTGGGATCCATAGTTGCAAGTGTGACTGTGTTTAACAGTCCTCCTATTACAATTGAGAGATATATGGAGGAGATATTGCTTTTTCGACAAAGGAGAGAGAAGATGGGGGTAGTTGTTGAAGATGAATTATAGAGAGAGGAATGATAGAATCATTAAAAATAAATAAATAATATCTCACAGTGGGTCTTTGTGGTTAGGTGAGGATGCGAATTGGTTGTGGTAGACTCCCACCCGAGTCAAAGACAAGAAGCAAAGGCAAAGAAGAACCAGGTTTGTAATGTTCCTGTTTTTCACCATTTTTCATTTTTTCAGAATTTCTGTTGTTGTGATGGCATTTTTGTCTTTTTTCGTTTTGTGTACCGGGCACTGGTGGGTGTGCCGGGTGTGTTCGAGAGTTGGTTGGAACATTTCATTGAGTTCAGGACCTTTTGAAATGCAATAGTTGCCATTGCGACATTTTTTCATTTTTCGGGTCAGATGGTCCTGGGTGGGACCTGCTACTGGAATTATTGTGCACGGGGGTTATGTCTCGGGTCCATTGCATATCATATATATTTATTTTGTGCATAATTTTAATGTTGTGGGTTGATTTATGTGGTTGTAGTATAATTTGTGTATATATATATTTTGTGGTAGAAAATTCAATATGAGTGGGATATTTTCTTAGTGGTGGGACCCACTACTAAGCATTTGGTGGCCATGAGACCAATTTTTGGTCTCATTTTCTCTTTCTCTCCCTGGCACTCTCTCTCCTCCCTCTCATTTATTTTTCTTTTACTTTTTAATCAAAGCTTCAAGCTTTGATTTCTTCCTCATCTTTGGGAATTTGATAATGTTTCATTTGGCAAAGTTGTAGAGTTCGTCGAGGCCGTCAATTTGATAGGAGCTAAGCACCATTTTGGCCAACTCTTGGATTTCGAATTATGGCTTGGAATTTGAGAATTTTGGGGCTTTTCTCATTTATTGAGGTAGTGGTCTCTAATACATGATTTCTTATACTTGTGTGAGTTAATTCTTTATAATTTGTTGATTTAAATGCTTAATTGGTTTGAATTCATGCAAATTGTTTATAGGTTGTATGTGAAAAGTGTGACTATGTGTTAGTAGATATAATGTGTATAAGCATGCCTATGTGAAATGAAATTTGTGTTTTGTATGCTTAATATGCTAGAATAATGTGAAGTGAAAACATGAATTATGTATTTTAAAAGTTTATTTTGAAAACATGTGTGAAAACTCTATGGTTGAATTGGTGATTAGAAACATAAACATTTGTGCATCCATTGGGAAAGAAAAAGAGAAAAATTGTTTTAAAACGAATGAAATGTGTTTTTGGGAATTTTTTTTTTAAAAGTGTTTGTGAAAACCGGACGCCTAGGAGGCGCCTAGTGGTCAGTGGTGTTAGTGTAGTTTAGAGGGGATTAGGGAGAGACCCTAGCATGATTGAACTAATTAGGCTGGATGCGACGTCTTGGAGGTGCCTTGTGGTCTTGGATGGTTAACTAATCTTTATTTTGTGATGCTTTGGAGGTGCATTGGGTTGGGTAACACTAACGGTTTGGAAGTTGAAACGGAAATGTTTCGGGAATGGGGAGCGACATTTGCATGACATTGCACTTTATTAGCATAAATGGTGCATTTGTGATGGGGTGACATTTATTATATACTTGTCGTCGTGGTTGTTGATATGTTTTCCCTATTGGATGATCCCGTTTGCCTTTTTACATATTCTTTAAATGAATTCATGAGGACATAAGAAATGTGTTTTAGACACTTCCACTGAGCTTATGCTCATTCCATTATTTTTTAATATTTTTCAGGTTCGGGAAAAAAAGTGGCGGACAACAACCCACCACAATGTTAGATGGGATTGGGACTTTTGTTTTGTGTCTTTTGTATGTAAATATGAACTAAGCTCTCATTGTAAAGTTGGAGTATCATTTGTTAAAGTTGTAATCATGGAACCTTAGTAAATTTTGTTCTTCTTGCTCCATCGCTTCTAATTTTGGATATTACTTTAAACACTTTGATTCATGGTTATTTGTTCATGTAATGGATCATATATTATGTCGATGTTGAGTGTTGTAAGGTTGTATTTCAATGATCTTATATGTGTATGGAAATAATTACCCAGTTTCAAAAGTTCCATAGCAACTATTTTGCATATTTTCAGGTTCATAGCAGTCCAGTAGTATTTCTTAGATCGCAAAGCCATTTCAGCTAACCGAAATGCCCATTTCGGCCAACCGAAATGCCCATTTCGGTCGACCGATCACTCCAGTAGCGGGCATTTCGGTCAACCAAAATGGGCATTTCGGTCGACCGATCACTTCAGTAGCCTCAATTACTGTTTGGGTCACAACCGGCCGACCGAAATGGTCATTTCGGTCTATCGATACAGGAGCTATTTCAGTCGACCGAAGCTCCGTTTCGGTCGACTGGTTTGATGCTGTTTGGTGTAATTTGTTCTTTCTTCCATTTCAGTTGTTCTAAGTCTTGGGAAGTTGCCTAGGGTCTTCATGGATCATAATAAAGATGTATTAATGTTGTAATAACACTGGGCTTGATGTCATTGATTTAGGTAACATCGGGTTCGGGTAAGGACCTGGTTAACAGTTCGGACCTACGGGTTCGGATCATTACAGGTCTTGTGTAGGGAGCAAGAAGAGGAGGCGGCGACAGAGTCGAAGAGATGAAAAGGGAAAAAAAGTGTCCTTATTGGTCTTTTTACAAAAAAAATTATTTTTATATATTTTATAAAATTATTCAATAAGGGTAATTTGTCAATTTAGATTTTAAATGTATAGGGGGACCTAATTATACCAAATTGGAACTTGAGGGATATTTTTTGCATGTGAGGGGTGTGATATGCACTGTAAATATATTTCGGGGGTATTTTCTGCACTTGACCCAATATATATGCACAACAAGGTTTCCTTGACTTTCTATGACAAGCATTTCCTAGGAACCTATTTTCACTTCTAAAAACCATGATCAAGCACCTCATCATTTCACACACACAAGAGAAGCCTTATAGTTGAACTTCTTTTATTATATTTACAACATACACATTATCTATTATTGAGTACAAATAATGCATTAAATCCTTTTCAATTATGTATTTCATGGCACAAAAACTCTGTGGAACTCTATTTTAAATAGAACAATTGAAGTGTTATATTTAGGCAAAAGTACAAAAAGGCATTTTCAACTTTCACAAATTGCCAAGTCACCTTTGAACGATTTGTTTTGAGTGTGTCAATCCCACATCTTACAAAAGTCGGCACCTTAACCTCCCGAAGACAATCTAAGTTGTAAAAGAACTGTTGAAGCTTCCACTTTTGTCAACTTGAACAATTTAACAATGTGAAAAAAAATAAAAAGTTACTTATAAAGAAATTATTGAATTGTTTTGGGATCAATTCATTGGATCCAGATAATTAAATAAATGTGTCAATTTTATATCAGTTTTATTTAATTTAATTAAAATTTTTTTTTTACTTAGCACGTTAACCATTGATTGATCGAAATCAATAATCTGACGTCCAGCTGCATGGTCTGAACTTTAAAACTACTGCTTAACTAATAGATAACTATAAAGAAAGCCTTACAAAATTAAATTTAATAGGACTATAAGAAGTCACCAGCTGTATGGACCATAACCCATTTAAATTACACCCTCTGAACATTCTATATATTTTTATATATAAAAATATATAAAAATTTATGATAGGGTTGCAAGTTGTGCGGGTTAACTTAGCCCAATTCAAACCCAACCCAAAAAAGTTAAAATTTGAACTTCAAATTCACTCTTGTTCCGGTTGAACTTTGTCAAAACCCATACATGTTCGGATTGGGCTCAAGCTCAACCGAACCCAACCCAAAACCAAAATAAAAAAAAAAAATATCTCCTCTCTATTCTTTCTCTCTCTCTCTGCCGCCGTCCCCACCGCCGCCGTCCCTCTGCTGCCGCCACCGTCGCCGTCCCCTCAGCCGCTGATCCGCCGCCGCTTCCAAAAATTAAAACAAAACCCATACATACAAGTTAGCAGTTGCAGAGAGAGAGGGGGGCAAGCAAGAGAGTTGAGAGACAGCCGCTGAAGCTTGCGAACGGCGAACCCGAACTGGAAAGGCGGGGGATGGAAACTGAAGGATATGGGTTTTGATTTTTTGAAAAATCTGAAATGATATGCCGATATGGGTTTTGAAATAGGTAAAAGGTTTTGAACTTCCGATTACATTTCTCCATCTATTCACATCTTGTAACTCTTTACATCTCTCCATCAACAGATTTTGAAGACATAACTCTCACTCTCAAGTCTTATATCTACCTAAAATTTTAGATCAAATATACCATCTTCTTCTCTCCTTTGTTTTGTTTTTCAAAAAATGTTTTAACAGAATCGTATCCTCGCGTTAATAATATAGGGAACATATAAGATCAGCCTGGTATTTTTTCTCTTTAGAAAACGACACCGTATAAGAATTGGGCAACTAGGAAAACGACACCGTATAACTCTATGTGCTGTCCTCATCCGCTTACTTTTGATTATCTAGGGGTTTTCTGCACAGGTGATGTTTGCAGAAATTTGAAGGTCCAGGGATATTTTTCTGGCAAATTGCGCTGTATAATACACCCACAATATATATATATATATATATATATATATATATATATATATATGAGCTGTGACTGCGGTTTTGGAAATCTGCAGCAATGGGAGTCTTAAAAGACGGGTCTATTTCGGGAGTATTACCCAGTACAGAGGCCTTTGCAATTCACTATCCTGGTTACCCTTCATCTACAGCCCGTGCTGTTGAGACTCTTGGCGGAACTGAAGGAATTCTCAAGGTATGCCACTCCACACGCACGAACTCGCATATATGTGTGTGTATATATATATTTATGTATGTATATTTATGAGGCATGTAAATATATGTGAGAGGTATAAATTCTGTATTATGCTACAACAGCTGTAAGTGAATATATGTAATAAAAGAATTTTGCTCGCTAGAATTTTCATAGATTTTTTTTGGTTGTATTTGGCTGTTTATTTAGTTATTAATTTTTTGATAAGTAATTATTCAAAATTGTGCTGTTTAGTTTAATTTTTTATAGGAACGATATTGATGCAAAATCAGATTATTTGCATTTCTTACGAGTCTCAAATGTGCTCCAGGCATCGTTATGCAAATTGCACTGTGATGGTGTGTGTCTCAGGAGATATTAACAGGGTGTTTTCATGTTGTTGATGCAAAATTTGTAGGGACCAAAACCCATACTCCATTTTGTTGGTTGTGTTTGTCCATTCCTTTTTGACTTAATATTCCCTCTAGGTTCTTGATTGTGACTCGGTGATTATGAATTTAGGACTTACTAGATGGCTTAGAGGAGGAACTAGAGCGGTTTTTTTGCCCTTGGTATTGAAGGATCAGATGACTTGATTGATTTTTTCACCCTCTTTATGATTAGCTTGATGGCATGATAATGTAGTTTTGGGGTTATTCGATCACATGACATTTTTTTGCTGCTTGAAAGTCAAAACTGCTATGTTAGGTGCGGGTGAAAAAACAAATCTCGTCACTTACCTTTACGGGGAATTTGAGGTAAAATCTTTAACATCGATGAAATTGCTTATAGGAAGAATTTTCTTATAAATATTATTATCAAGCGTGCATGACATAAGAGTGAACAGTGAACGAAAATCTTTAACATCGATGAAATTGCTTATAGGAAGAATTTTCTTATAAATATTATTATCAAGCGTGCATGACATAAGAGTGAACAGTGAACGATTACTTTATCCATGGCTAGTATAATTGAACAATTTCAGATGTAGCCTGCACCTCCTCACCAAAATCTTTTCATGTCCTCAGGAAGCAGCTTACATAAGATTCTTTTGCTCTCATTCCAGGGACATATCGTACTCCTAGAAAATGCTTTGCGTACAATAGGAGTGAATAAGTAATTTGCCTTTGGCGCCTGCAAAATTATTTTTGTTGTTCTGAGATTCGCATTTCATGTTGTTGGGCAAACTTCCTATTTAAATTTGACTTGAGTTAGGTGATGTTGTGATGCGTCTAAGTACATTTTATTTGGACTGTGCTTCAGCTTGGCCAAAGCTTCAGTTAGTCTTCTTCAATCCCGTGTTGTATGCTTCTCTTTAGCTCAAGCTCTTTTATGATCCTAGTTAAGCTCATAAGTTCATAACTGATAGAGCTGTGTTCTATTGAAGATGTGAAAGAGCAGATATTTAAGAAAGTGTAAAGGCGAGAAAATATTTTGGTTTATCTGAGGAAGCCCTAGCCTCCAAGTGCTAAGCATAATAATTTTATTCCTTGATCCTTTCTACAACCCACTACTTCTTACTTAGATTATAAATAAATCAAAATTACCATAACGTGACACCAATAATCCAAATGCAGCTCAAGAATTTCAACCACCAAGCCAACTGCATCCCGTAATCACAGTGGAATGATATGTGTAACCACACCCTAGATGGCCTACAACAATAATAGCACGGAGTTATATAAGTTATATATACAGGGTTAATAATAGCACAGAATCATATCTACAAACTCTGAAGTGGGACATGATGATAGTCGCGAATCAAGCAGGAAAATCCCTGAGTCCAGCTTCCACTCACAAGACACAATGAACATTTTTATAGCTTGAGAATGCTTCATTAGACTATCTCCAATTTGTTTCTAATTTAGAGGTCTATGAGTTGACTTGAACCAGTCGGACCATTTGATCACATTCCTAAAGAGATTAATGAAACAAAACTTTAATTTTATGATTTTTCCAATGATTGTATCTTGTGTGTTAAAGATAGGTATAATTTCAGAAGTGACATTGCATTTAACCAAAAGAGAGCAAAGAAACAAAGCATATTTGAATTTTCATCATATATAATATACATATAGATTAATAATATATATACATATATATTATATATAATTATAAACATATATATTAGCTAGGACTTTGGTTCTGTAAATCAGCGGCAATGGGAGTTATAAAAGATGGTCTATTTCAGGATTATTCTCCAGTACAGAGGCTTTTTCGGTTCACTATACTGGTTACCCTTTATCTATAGCCTGTGCTGTTGTCTCTTGGAGGAACTGAAGGAATCCTTAAAGTATGTCACTCCTAAGACACAAACACATACACATAGTTGTATGTATGGATATCTATGAAACAAATAAATATATGAAAGTCATAGTGATGGAGATTAAGACATGGCCCACAAGCTTGAACTGGATATGATTCGCACTTAATCTACGAGAAGGGGCAAAGATAAATAGAATTAGGCTTTTGTATTAAATTAGGGTTAAATATTTATGTTGGTTATTTATTTATTTATTTTTTGGTAATGTTTGGTTTTTAAAGTTAATTATGTTTTTTCTTATTTTAATGATTTTTTAGGGTTTATTAATAATTTTGCCTGTGTAAAGGCTCTTGTGTAATCAAAATATTAAGCTTTTAATCATCAAACATTATTGTGGTATGAGATCTTCTATATGTGTTTCTTCCCCCCTTATTATTTTCATCTCAATCCTTAGTCTTCAATTTCATTTCTTAACCCCCTCATCTATTTCATATGAAGCACATACATGCTAGAAGATCGAAGTGTCACGTGTCAAGCACGGCCCAAACATCTTGGGCATGCCAAAGAACGTGTTTGAATATTTTTCTTTTCAAACATGATGCTGACACTCTGTGACTGATATGCAGTCACACTGCGATCACACTGTGGACATGCATGTCTAATTAAAAGAGGATTTTAAGAAATTTAAAAAAATATATGGGTTAAAATATAAAGTATGTGGAATTCTTTGAAAAGTTTCAATAATATTGAGGTCAAAATATAAACTATATATATTTTTAAAATGTAATTTATCAAGCAAATTTATTTACTTGATCTTAGTATAGTTAATATTTGTTTGAAATTGTAAAAGATCCAAAGACAATATGCTAAGAATCTTGCTCTCTTTTGCAACCAAGCTTTGAAGTTACTAGTATGGATCATCGAAGCTTGACTGCTGGCAAACCTTCTTCTCCTCCAATAAATCCTCTTTCTCAAATTTTTTTCCCTTCTCTACAGGTTCTTTAATTTATTATAAACAAAGGGCTTTTTTTTTTTTTTTGTTTTTCAATAACACCTTAGTTTCCTTATTTATTTATTTATTATTTATTTATTCTTTAACTAATCCTCTCCGTCCTAGTAGAATTCTCTCTCTTTTTTTTTCCTCCAACAAAGCCCTAATTTTGGAAAGGTTTAAGAATTATATTTCATTCAACTCTCTCTCTTTACAACTGTAATATTTTGTTTCACTATGGATTTAGATTGCAACAAATTTTATAAAAGGGAGTTCAGAAATTATACTTCAACTCATTCTCTCTCTCTCTCTCTCTTTCTTTTTCTTCGTCTTTTTTTCACTTTAAATAAGAGAATTTTTGTTGTAGTTCATTAGTTATTGTGAAATGGGATTTTTGAACTAGGAAAAAAAGAAAAAAAAAATGGGATTTTTGAGTTTGTAATTTGATGAAAAGTGATATTAGTCTTAGAATATATTATCACTTATATAAAAATTATATATTTATTATTTGTTGTGTTCTTGCTGTGCCCTTGTCTTAATTTTTTTTTTTGGATTTGTTGTCTCCATGTCGTGTCTTACCGTGCTTCTCAGTTAATCCCCCCCTCCCCCTCCTTCTTCTATCCTTATTTTATTTCTCTTCTCCTTTCTTTTTGGTCCAACATCAGTTTATCTATCTTCTTATTTCTTATCTCCTTCTCTCTTTTGTCCTACGTCGGTTTGTTTTTCAAATATCTTTTGTAACAGGGGGAAAAACACAATATAAGGGATATGCTGTTTACACATCAAATTGAAACTTTTCCCTATGGGAATGCTCATCTATAATTTGGCATTGTTTGCAGGCTCGAAGCTTGCAGTCAAACAAGTTGGAGCTCTATTTCCGTCCCGAAGATCCTTATTCACACCCTACTTTTGGGGAGCTTTCTCCCTGTAATAATTTTCTGTTAAAAATTTCCAGAAAGAAAGATAGGGATGGTCAAAATGCTGACGACTCTAACAGGATACCAAAATGTTTATCATCAAATGCCATTAATCATGAGAAAAAGATGTGCCATTCTGAAGTAGTGAAAACTGGGGAACAAGTAAGTCAACCTGATAGTGGATTGATTGCTGCTTCTGCAGAATCTCAAGCACATGTACCTGAAGACGAGGAACAAGATCTTCATGCTGACATTATTGCTCGAGTGTCAGATGCCTATCATTTTAATGGTTAAAATCATTTCTGATTATTGTAGTCTAGTTTTCCTTCTTTTACCTTTTCTGTCTGTCCTTCTTGACTTGTCAGGCACGCACTTGACCTTTGCTGGTTTCCTTTTTTTCCCCTTTCTTAACCTGTGTGTGTATTTTTTTATTTAGGAATGGCAGATTACCAACATGTTCTTGCTGTTCATGCGGATGCTGCCCGAAAAAGGAAGAGAAATTGGGCAGATATGGAACCACAATTTGGTTAGGCCTTCTTCATGGTTTATACAATTTAGAAATTAAGTTGGAACTGCTCTTTTTTTTTTTGTCAAATTAATTTTCATGTTTATGCTACTTTGTAGAGAGGAGTGGTTTAATGAATGTGGATCTGGAAGACTTAATGATTCTAGTGCCGCCACTTTTCTCGCCAAAAGATGTGCCAGAGAAAATAGTGTAAGATACTTCGGCTTGTTTTGTTTTCTTCGAGTGGATTGCTAGCTTTCCTAGTTTTCGTATATGTTCTATATATATTTTTATAAAGCACTTGTTAGGAAGCTTGAAATTCACGAGGTTGAAGGAAAGCCTTATATATTCATGTCACAGATAATGAATTTTCCATACCATTTCTTTGACATTTTTGATAGACAACAATTTCTAAAAATTGTTTCAGTGATGTGAGAGGAAGAAAAAGAATGCGACCTGATCTTTAGCTGACCCTATATGGAAACAGGTTTGTTAGCAACCATGGATCAGTTCTTGGGGTTGACTTGGTGTGGGTTCTGTCTGTTTGGTGCAAATTTTTAGCTGACCTGATCTTTTTAAGCTATCTGAAATAGGAACCAGAAACACAATCGGCTTGGAAATGAGCTGCACTGACGGCTGAACCAACTCTACTTGGGTTGCTTTGTATAAAATATCGGGTTTGATTTAACAAGCAATCACTTTCCTACTTGCTCAACAAGAGTGTTTTTGGATAATGTGCTTGATTCAACCAAAACCAAATGGACCATTTTACTACCTGTTTTTTGCAAGTCTTGTAATTGTCAAACTATGGTTCATAAAACATATGAAAACATGACTAAAATATATCATTGGCATATCAACCTAAAATTATACCAATAAAACACAGATCTAATAAAAATTCGGTAAGACAAGGTCCTGAGTAGGCTCAATGTAAGATTCACAAATTTGCCACTTCCTTTGTTAGTATGGTTTTGATTCAGGGTTGACCCATAGAAACAAATTATGTAACACCCAAAGTGTTTAGCAATAATGAAACCCTAATCAGAATTGAAAGTCAAAGAATAAGTAAAAAATGAAGAACACTATATTTTGGATCGTTCAAGCCTTGACTCTTGAGGCTTGGCCAGTCCAAGTAGTTTTGGTGATTCACCGATGCAAGCTGAAATCCCAAGTCATTGTTTCACCAGTATAATTGGTCTTCTGAACCTGTTATGATAAACTCCATCAACAACTTAAACATATTGGGTGTGTTAGTATGAAGGCCAGAGTTCATACTATTCTTTAGTTTGGTCCCCAATTTTATTAAACATCAATCACTGTGAATTATGCTAACTATATTAGTAACATGTTCAAGTACACGAAATACATATGTGGTTCAGTTTTGAGCTTGTGAAGTGTGAAACGTGGGCTTCAGTAAGATGGCAACCACTTTGCTGCGATAAAACAGGATATTAGGTTTATACCAGTTCTTGGTACTAATAACTCAAAATTTTCTTTTGTGTTTCTTTTTATTTCTTTTTTTCCCCTTGAAATTTCTAGCAATTATTGTTATCTGATTGCATTTGAGTGTTTGAACTTTCATGTAATTATGTGCTCTTCTTTGAATATGTAATATGCGATGACTGTTGAATTTTGATGTTGTTTTTTCTAGAATGTTGTGAACCTAGCATTATCATCCTTTGGCTACATGTTTGATTAAATTCAGATACAAGGTTTAGTTAACACTATTAGTTCTGTAGGATTATTTCTTGTGTCCTCTTCTTTGAATTATAAGATTTGTCATCACTTGGGAATTTTCTGATGCTTTATTTTTGGCATATCATGAATAAAAAATATCACTCTTGCCATCCAATTTTATTTAGTTTTTTCCCTTTCAGGTTAAAACCATCAGCTAGTCTGAGCTCAAAGAAGAAACAAGAGGGAGTTGTACAAAATCGTTGGGAGGTAATCTTAATTGTTGTGTCAAGCTAAGGATTTATCGACTGTGTCATTTGAGCCTGTAGATCGTTGATATTTTTTCCAATGTGCAACTCAAGAGCTAAAGTTCTGGTCATTTTTTCTATATTCATCTTTTGGACTATTTATATCAGAAAGTTGTTGGAGTAAGTCAAATTTGCACCAGAGCAAGCACACGTTCTTTAATTTTTAGTAGTTTTATATGCTGATAGGTTAATTAGGGGACAGTAATGCTCTGTTCCTTGGGAAAGAAAAAAATTGGATGGAAGGGAGAGAAGAAGGGATGGATGAGACATCCTTAGGGAAGAGATTGTGTATTTCCTTCTTTTTGTTCGGTTGGATAGAAGAGAAGAGAATAAGCTCATAATTTACTATGTTCATTAAGAGTGAAGGAAAGAGAAAGTTTTAATTGTTTTTACCATTATATCCAATAATATTTATAATATTGTAATTTATAGAGGATAGTACTGGAATTTAAAACTTGTATACTTCAGGATAGTATTTAATTTAAAACTTCTATAATAGTCCACTTGTCTTCTCTCCTTTCCTCCACCCATTTTTGGGCGGATGAAAATTTGTAAACGAGAAAGGATGGGTCATCCTTCCTATTCTCCTTTCTTTCCTTGTATCATCTCTACCAATCAAAGAAGTTTGTTCTTTTCTTCCTATTTTCTCTCCACACCTCTTTCTTCCTTCCTACCAAACACAACATAAATGATTATTATACACGCGGACATGTACACGTGTGCTGTTGTGATAAGGTACTTATTCTGGAGTGGTTGTGGAAATGCCATGTTTGTTCTTATTGTTGGATTGGACTGTTGAATGTGATTTATCTACCGGTGGCTCTTATTATTTGTATATCTGCTTTTATGGTGTTGTTTGGGCCTGTGAAAGGCCAACATAATTTTAGTCAAGTTCCTTAAATTTTGGGGATCAGGCTTTAGACAAATGCCTAACAAGCTGAAAGAGTATCCTCCCTCTTTTTATTTTCTGTTCTTTTCTTTTTCTATTTTCCTTCTTTTTATTTATTTATTTAAATATAAGCTTCCCATGCTAGTACAATATTCCTTTAATAATCTTGCATGTTTCTTGTTCTGTTGTTGAAATTCAACTGTATGGCTGCATATCTGTAGTGCCACTAGACAATAACTAATTGAGACTTTGGAAACAGATATTTAGTAGACGAATTTAGGTGGCCTAATATTAACACCTCTTCTCAGAGTATCTTGTAAGATCTTAGCAAAATTGTGTTGTTATGGAACTGATACATTTTTTTTTTTTTTTTTTTTGTTGCAGATGGATATAGAGCCATGTCTTGCCATAGACTTTAATATCAAAGATATCCTAATTTTCAGCTGATATGACTCTTTAACTTATATCTTTGATAGACCATTGCCAATTCCCAACTTTGCTCTGGCTGTATTCTTATCCTTTTGAAGTCCATTCTATCATGCTTTTGCACTTGTCGTGCTAAATCAGGCTGATTATTGATCACTTTATGATGTCAAATGTAGCAAACCAGGCATGCAATTAGAGCTGAAATGACAAGATGTCCTTCAATTAGGAAAGAGAAAACAGATAATTCAATCAAACCCAAAGCTCTTACAAAAGAGAATTTAGGTGTAAGCGGAAGGTAGAGAGTCCCTTAAACACTTCCATAACAACTTCTCCAGATATTTTGAAGTTAATAATCGTGTGCACATTTCCTTTGCTTTTAGTGGTTAATAACAGAAAATAATTCTCGAATAATTGTATTACAATATTTTTAATGCATACATCTAATTTAAGGAAATGTCAGCTGAAGAAATTATGTTATTGGAGTGCTTTTAGTTGCTCTGAAGCAAACGATTTAGCTTTGATGCTACCCTGTAATAAATGGCATTTCCCTGATAATAGTCAACACATAGTACATCATGTAAATAGTCTCAATTAGTAGTTGTGAATAACAGTACATATTTAAGAATGAAGCTGCCTTGTTTGATTTTGCTAGTGCAAATACCGCCGCTTTAATCTTCTTCAAATGCTGGGGTCTGTTCCTGTTGTTGAACAGTCCCTAGTAATTGGTCTTTCTTATTCCAGTTACAAAGTCTACTTGCATCAAGATATGGTACCACAAGTTATTTTCTTTAAACTTGCATGGAAGGTTGCCTTTAGATTGGAATTCATAGTAGTTGTGCACATGGAAAACCGTCCTTGGATTGGAATTCATGTAATAGGTAGGGCCTTTTTGGTTTACTTTTCTGTTTTCTGAGAACTGAAAAAAAAAAAGAAATTGTTGGTTGACAGTTTCTGAAAACTCAATTAAAAAAAGGTTGTTCTCTGAAAACTGAACCAAACAGGCCCATACTGCAGCGAATTTGGAAATTTTAACATCCCCTTGGGCATATTTTGGACTTATCCTTAGAATATAGTTGCATAGGTTCTTGTTGTCCGTGTGAGGTCAGGTGAAAATAATTTTTTTGCCCTTCTTTTTGCTTGTTGATACTGTATTCTCTAATAAGATTTTCTTCGAGATGGCTTACGGAATAAAGCTAGTACTTGTCAAGTAATTTGTGTGGCTGATGACTACGGGACTTTTGTTGAATGATATTTAAGATATTAACTGGAATGTTCGGATATGGAATGGAAATACAATGTTTTTGGTAGACATTTACACTTTATGTTCTGCGGGGAAACTTCTGGACATCAGTCTTTGTCTATTAATCATCTATCTCAATGCCCTTTATTTTGGAGAGTGATTACCTTTGTAATAATGATGCACCCTATTGCTGTCATCAGGAAGTCGGCAATGAAGTAATGAACTATGGTTGGGTATGATTGATATAATATCTTAATTAATTAAGTTCAATTATATACTTCACTTCCTCGTCTTCTTTGTATCTGTTTCACTTAAAAGCTTTTACAGATACCCAAAAAAATAAATTTGGAGAAATACATTTCCCAAGACTCAGAACAATGGGAGTGGCAGATGACTGTATGTAAGTTGTTTGACGAGCGTCCTATATGGATAAAAAATTCACTGGCTCAACGTTTGCTTGACAAAGGTCTGAAATTTGGAGATCATATGCTCAGAAGGTGGTCTGCCTTTAAAATTGTGCTTTATTTTGTAAAATATCTTGTTGTAATATTGAATTTGCATGACTCGAGAATTCCCGACAACTAATTCATTTTGAAAGTTTCAGTGGCTGTGTATCTGTTTAATGTCACAGGCTTCTCTTCAGAACAGCATATTACTTCTCAAACGGGCCATTCCTTCGTTTCTGGATCAAGAAAGGATATGATCCACGCAGAGATCCTGAATCTCGCATGTGAGAATCAAACTCAGATCCTGTAAACCCCTGCTATTTGGCGTCTCTGTCCTTGTCTTTAGTATCGAGTTCTAGTCCTTCATTTGCATTGGTTTTGATTATCATGAAACCTGGAATGAGTGAGCTTTAGGATTTAATTTACTGAATATATGATCAAGGCAGTTATATTATTTTATTTATTTCTGCTGATAAGTAGATAACTGATGGAAACTTCAGGTAAGAGCTAGTCGACTTCTATGAATGGTTTTAGACTACTTGCATTAAGATATGAGTGAAGGCACTGGAAAATACTTCCATTCCTCCTTTTAAAGTTAGTAGCATTCATGATTTGTTTTGGATTTTAAAGTGGTAGGTTAGTGACTGAAAAGGAAGTGAACTTGTATGTTACTTAAATGAGTGTTATATACATACATACATATATATATATATATATTATTTGTAGGTTTTCCTATTGTAAATTGACTTCTAAAAATCAAACTTGTGTGGCTGGTAAAATTTTAGGAGAAACCAAAATAAATGAGAAAGTGAAGTCTTATCAATCTTCTAGTTTTTAGTTAGAACCGGAATGTGAACATCCTAATTTATCGTAAATATTTGTCTTGTTGACAATCACCCATTACATCCTCAGTAGATTTTCCAGACTTATGCTGGAATATCAACTTTAGGCGCAACAATAACATTCTAGAATGGAGGTGCCTTTTTGCACTGTCCTTCTGTATTAAGGGTGGTTTCTTTTTCACTTGTATAGAAATTTGAAAAAATATGTGATTGTTCTTGTCAGATGTTGCCTAGTGTAACACTAGGCGCAACAATAACCTAGTGTTGTTTTTTTTTTTTTTTTGGTAATCTCTATTAACTGTTTTCTTGGCATCCCTTTCTTTCTTAGTGTCAGATGTTTCTTATGGGAAAAAACAGGAAAAGGTAAATAAGATGGTCGAATATAGTAAATCTTTTTCGTAGAAAAGTAGCTGTAGAGGTTGAATTCTCATGTACAATGCTGACAATGTGTCTGTGGAAATGGATAAAACAAAAAATTAAAGAAATAAAGGACATCTAATTAGAAATCCAATTTTATTCTAGGTTATCACATTCATTTCCCTTCAATTCTATTTGCATTCATTTATAAAATAGAAATGCTTTTCGTTTGATCTATTACTAATATTTTCGATCTATACTTGTTATATTATGACTATAAGTATTAATATGAATTTGGATGCATTAAACTCTTTTATGCAATGATGCTTATTTCCCAAGATTTAAAGGACATCGAATTAGCAATCCAATTGTGTTCTAGGTTATCACATTCATTTCCCTTCAATTCTATCTGTAGACAACCATCTACTCTAAAAGATTAATCTATTAGAGAGTGCAACTTTAATATTTAAATCCTTCAACACGTCCCCTCACGTGTGGCCTTCTTTTGGTCCAACACGTGTTTCAATTTTATTTATCAAGCTGACGATGGGATTTGAACACAAGACCTTGCATGCTCTGATACCATGTAAACCACCATCTACTCCAAAAGGTTAAGTTGGTGTAACTTAAAATTTAAATCCTTGAACACTATTTGAATTCATGTATAAAATAGAAATGCCTTTCGTTTGATCTAATACTATTATATTCTTTTGTTCCATAGTTGTTATATTTGGTACTATAGGTATTAGTATGAATTCTGATGCTTTAAACTCTTTTACGCAATGATGCTTATTTCCCTAGATTTTGATGCTTACATCCAAAATTTTGTTTCCACAGATATCAAAGAATTGATTTTCGAGTACCACCATCATTGCGAAGCTATTGCGATGCTAACATGGCCGCTGGGTAAGTTCATTCAGACGGTTATATTTTCTTTAGACGAATTTGTAATTTATGTGATAGCAGCTTTGTGTCTACATATCTGACTTTGGCTCAACTAAAATTTAATATCTTCACACTGAGTATTCTATTATTAAGGATATGGAGCAAATCATTATCATGACTTACATGCTTAGTGCTAGTGCATCAGCAGTGTTTTTGATACGTTTTGGGCATACCGTTGAGAGTATTAGCGGAATTGTGTGCTGCTCTATAATTAAAATACTACCATGTATGAGTTGTCTGAATGGAATTAAGGATATGGAGCAAATCAATATCATGACTCACATGCTTAGTGCAAGTGCATCAGCAGTGTTTTTGATACCTTTGGGCATACTGTTGAGAGTATTAGCGGAATTGTGTGCTGCTATAGAATTAAAATACTAACCCCATTTATGAGTTGTCTGAATGGAAAGCTCAGGATATGTGTGGTTTAAACCCGCATGGGTAGCCTAGTGGTAAAGGGGTCTCAAGGGGCGAGCCGTAAACTGGACGCCCTGAATTCGACTCTCACAAGGCACAAAAACACCCGGTTAAAATGATGTATGGTTTGTGGGTGATTGCACATATCCGAGATTTACCCTGCAGCCATAAGTCCTAAGGGCCGGTGGTTGGAAGGGTTCCCTCATTTCTAAAAAAAAAAAAAAGCTCACCAGGTTTACAATTATTACTATATCACTTTTTGTCTCTGTATTAACCATATTTGAGCAGTAAATTTCTTAATTTTTTTAATTTTTTTTTGGCGAGTCAATTTGAGGAACAAAAATGAGTTACAGCATTTCAGTAATTTTATCATTTTAGAAACATGAATCCATTTTGTGGAGTCCTTTGTTCATTCATCTGATAAATGCATATGATCTCTTAATTGATAATGTTGTTATTTTTATTTAGTGATAACCCAGTATTTTGGGTTATTTTAAATATTTTTATGTTCATATTTCTATTTGGTTTGTTAGAAGTGACCATATATTTTCTTGATTGAAATCCCTTTAGTAGAAATCAAACTAGTGTATTTTTTGTGTCTTTGATGAAGATTTGAAGTACTCTCTGAAGTTTAGGAGTTGGTATAATTTTATCACTCTCCTTTTAGTAGAGGTGAATCTTCTATTTCGGTTTCAGTTGAAACTCTTTTTTAAAGTTCTTCATTTGAATGGCTAGCTTCGTGACAGCTGTACAAGGCTCTTGGCTAAAGGGTCACATTATTTCATTGCTTATAGTCTATAAGCAACACCAATAATAGGAGAAGTGAAGCGACCTTGGACATATCAGATTCTTTATCCTATCCCCTTCCTGGCAATGACTATGGGCACTTAATCCACTGAACTGTTGGTTTTCTTTTAAATTTACCCTCCATGATGAGCTACTGCTTAAATGTCAAAGAGGTACCACCTAAAGAAACTTTCTGGAATATGCAGCTAATTAAGGAATACTTAAGGATCCTTGTCTCAGTGACAGTCATCAAGTTTAGCACCTCTATCGACATCAAACAAATCTAAATGCCTGCGGTGGAGGAATTTTGATCATAAATCGATGGTTTAGGACCGAAGAAGATGATTTAATATCTGTACTCTTATTGATTATGTTGGCTTCTTTCATATGATGACAGTTGCAATAGCATTTCAATGGCATCTGCTGAGGCTATAGATTCATCCATTGCAGAGACTGTAGCCCAATAGAGCTATGAGCGTTAAGACCAAAGGGGCTTTCAAAAGTTCAATTTCATAACATTTCAATGGCCTGTGGTGAGGCTATAGATTCATCTATCAAATTCACCCCATCCTTCCATTAGTCTAAGGCTGCCTTTGAAGTGCTCACATTGAAGAACTGAGTAATGTGAGGTACATAATATTGTGGCCAGGTTGGTTGAGCAAAGAAGAGATGCGTCTGCTAGAGGCAGTTTCAATGGTTCTAGTCTTCTTGCCTATGCTTGTACTTAGTCAGAAAATGATTATTCATATTTTTTCCAATCACCAAAAAATAAGAAAAAATATTTATTTTATATATAAAAAGTTTCCAAGAAAAAACATTTTACAACTTTTATTTTTTTAAAAGTCAAAACAAATGGAGGGAAACTTAGTGAACTAGAATGCTGAAGGGCATGACAATTTGATGCCTATTTTGGGCTTTGACTTTCTTCGATCGAGTAGATTACATCGACAATCTCTCAAATTTGTTTTGAAGACTAGGACCAAGTGTCATATTTTTTTTTTTTTTTGATAAGTAGGACCAAGTGTCATATTTTTTTTTTTTTTTGATAAGTAGGACCAAGTGTCATATTGATTCTTACTTGAACTTCACCATCTGTTAATTTTAATTAAATTTCAGTTTAGTCTTTGCGTGTAATTTGGTTAAAGATGTCTCAAATCTCTTTTGGGAAGGGAGAATATGCAAGTCACGTTTTGAGTCGTGATCGTCTCTGGATAAAGGTTCGTATCTGTCGTGCCATCTTGTTAGCCTTCTGTGGCATTGAGATCTCACTGAAAATTTTCTTGGATGTTTGTGTCCTCTAAATCTCCTAGTCTGATATTTGTAGATACATGGATGCGTGATGACCGGATATAAGATTATTTGTTAAGTCTTCTTTAAAGTATCACGTGTCTTGCCCATTTCTTTTTGGTTAATGAGCTCACTTACAGTCTTCTGCTAGCTGTGCTTTTAGTCTTCTCATTTTTTTCTTTGATCAAGCCCTTTTGTTTTGGTCTCAAAAGTCACGTGGGAATTTGAGATGATAACCTTTATGTGTTACTGAACTTATCTGACTGAAAAGGGGTTCAATTATAAATATTTATATTATTTATTTTTAGGGAGGTGTGCTTGTGTCTAGGAGGATCAGATGGCTTATTAGCGAGAGTGATTGATTATTTTGAATCGAAGGCCTTAGGAAAGAGGAAGACTAAATAAAACATGAAAAGAGAAATGTTCAGGAATTTCTTTTATTTAATTCTTTCTATCAATCTTCTTGTTTCTTCTCCATGTTGTAATGTTTAAGTCGATTGTTGCTTATCCAACTGCATTCATAATAAGGGTGCGGGGATATTTTAATCTGCACTTTTACATTGCACAATCTACTTGATTGTTTTTCATGGGCCTCATGGCTGGAAATGATTGTCCTTTCTGTATGTATATCTACTTGTGCCATTCATCAACCAATTGATTCCTCTCAATTTACATATTTTTCATGCAGGTTAAAGCATAGATGGGACGATATAAGTAGATTTCGTGTTTTTCCTTATAAATGCCAAATTTCATTACAGCTTTTTGAACTTGAAGATGATTACATTCAACAAGAGATTAGAAAACCTTCAGACCAGGAAACTTGCACTGTAAGTTTCTCATATTGATTCATGGTGTCTAAGATTCTTTTCCTAAAAGCCACAATAATCAATTCTTCCATCTTGAAAATTTTCTTTTAATTTCTATATCACATCTAATAGTAATGGATGGCAAGTTTTATGTGATAAATGGAATTTATTTCTCACAATTTGAAATGTTCGACTCCATGCAATCCCAAGCTTATGGCTTGTTATTTCAAGATGCACAGTCCATGGTGCTTTAGAGTTATATTATTTCATTATTATCAACTTTTTTTAGCACTCTTACTTAGACTGCTATTTTTTTTTATCCCCTATAAGTAGAATTGTAGCACCATATGAGCGTAGTATCTACTTTGGGTCTTTATGTATGTATTGCTTACCTTTTATTATATTTGGTCCAGTGGCAAATTTTCAATCTTGGAATTCTCAATTTAAGTTAATTTATTTGTTTTGTTGATAAAATTGGTTATGGGTTCTCTAGCCAAATAGGGTTGTTGGATTATGATATGTAAAATTCTAAATGATGAACATGTAAAACTTAAAGTTGTTATTAAAGGGTTTTTAAAATAAGAATGAACATCAGCTATCACTCTTGCAACGAAAGAACTCATTGCCAAATGTTGGTTCAAGTAAGGCGGGAGGAGTGGACATGATGCAAACTTAACTTTTAATATTATTTGTACAAAGTGGCTCCTTTGGACTTGAATTTGCATTCTTATGTTTGACATACCAAGCTTTTATTACCGAGCAAGCAATGGCTGTATAGCACTTTATAAAGTTTTTGACTTGCAACAATGTAAACTGTTAAAAATAATTGATGTAAGGGATGCAATAGCTTTCAGACTGTTAGCATGACAATGCATATTGAGTTCTGGCTGAACTTGTATAGATGACACTATAACCTATGACCAATTTGTTGAAATATGGTGTGGAAAATACGCACTGTTTATAGAACTTAACTATTTATCTGGAAAAGTATCATCTTCATTATAGAAAAGAGCTTGTAATTTTGAGTTTTATAGAAATAAATCGTATGTCGGTTTGCATTCTCAAGCACCCACCTTATGTTTTTAACTAAAACTGATTGTATCAAATTACCTTTAACTTAGTTCTTCGAAGGCTGGATAGCGGGGTAGAAGTGAGTCGTAGTAACTCTCAGTTTCTGATTGAATGTAGCATCAATTGCCACTTCATCTAAAGTGGTGTTCAGCTTGCATGCTGAAGCTTAGTCTTGGAAGAAAATTACCTCAACAGAACGGTATCTACATAAATTTGCTTCAATTAGGTCTGATATCCTAATGCCATTACCATAAATCTCTTGACCTAGTGCTTATTTTCCATTACGGAGCCAATGATTTAGGTTTAGTTCAACCCATTACACAAGAAATGGAAATCCAATATCTTGTTATGAGTGTTGAAGGCATGACGTCGGTGGGATGTGATTTAGCATTAGGATATGAATCATGAAAGGATTGTCTGGAACTTCTGAGCCGCTGTTTGGTAGAAAGGGTGGTGTTTATGGATTTTTTGTCTCAGATGATGTTTCGATTCAAGCATGGGTGGACTAAAACTGGAGGGTCTCAGCTGGTTCTTGAGTTATGGATATGAATGGATCCAAGTTTTTGTTTGAATTACCTTATTGGAGGAAGAAGAGTGTTCGTCGGTGGAGTGGGATTTGGAGGAACTCTTCTTCATTGACGGGTGCGAGCGGCAAAGTGATTTAAGCTGAAGGCATTTCCACAAAGCACTTGCTTTTCTATACTTTATGGTGCCATAAAATGTTTAAAGCTCCAGGAGACGGGGCCAGTGGTGTTCGGGGTGTGGCTGAGGTGACTGCTGATCAAAAGCATGTCCATTGGGCTTGTTCTTTTGGTGAAGGCAAGAAGCCCTGTGTCAACATCAGTAGTAGTGGGGGTGGACTTATGGCAGTATTGTATTCATATTTGTGATGAATCAGCACCAGAATTTGTTTTCGTGGTGAAGGATTGGCGATGAAGCAGGCGGCATGCAGGAAGTTGGCAATTGAAGGCGGAGGAGAATGGATTGACGTGTGGGGTGGTTGCCGTGCGTGGCCCCAAGTTAGAGATGCGTGGAGGACAGCCCCCCTTTGCTTGTGGTGGGCTCTTTGGAAGGAGAGGAACAGGAGATCCTTTGATGGGGTGGAGGCTCCATGGGGGGTGTTTAGATATTCTGTACTTAGTTCTATATTCTTTTGGGTTCAGGGTTCTAATTGTAAATCTATGGAGATTCTTTTGTCTTTTGTGGATAGCTTGAGGCTATAGTTTTTGTGCAGTTGTTGGACACTCTTCAATGAATATTTATCCACAAAAAAATAAAGGCAGAAGAGGATGGAGAACCACAGACAAGCTGCGAGTGCAGTTAAAATGAGGAAGGCTGAAGCTAAGACACATAGAAGGGATAGGGGCCATTGCTTATCTGATCGTAATCCCCAGTTAGATATTTTTTATTTCAAATTGAAAAGTAGCCCACTAAGGGTGATTAGTGGGTCACGTGGTGGTCCAGGCTATGATATCTATAGCCTTGTGTCTAGACTTAAGACTTTGAATGCATGCTTTATTGCGCTTGTGCTTAAGAAGAGAAGCTGTTAATATTTTAGGCTAGTAAATTGACATGAGATGATAAAATTTTGCGTGTGTTTGTGTCATTGAAGTTTTGAAGTGTTATAGGAGGCTATTTTAAAGACTCAAAATGCTTAGAAGGTCTTGGATGTTGTCCAGGTTACAAATAGGTATGTTGCTGGACTTCAGAAGAGCCCTCTTTTATGCACTAGCTGGACATATAGGAGAGAATGGACATTGGAGCATGAGTATGGTGTCGAGTACATTCAAGGGTAATATGATGAGAGGGTTCACTGAGGGTGGAAGTGAGGTCGATTACATTTCTATTTCTTACTTGTTTGTGATGACACAGTCATTTCTTTTATGGTAATGCAAAGTAATTAAGGTATCTCAGGTGTGTATTATTATTATTATTATTATTATTATTTTTTTTTTTTTTTTTTTTTTTTTTCCTATTCTGTGTGTTTTGAGGGTGGGAGGTGTTAGAGATGAGGAACGTAAGTAAACTGTTTACGTAGTATTCCTGACTTGTGCAAACAAAATTTCAGTATCTTCCATGAAAATTTCATCTGCAAGATGCATTTAAAGTAGTTGTTTCAGCACATGCATGCTATCAACTTGGTGTTAGATGTACCACCTTTTATGTGCAAATTCTGAAGTTATATACTTTGCAGTGTGCGACAGGATGGTTCTCCTCACGTGTGCTTGATTGCTTGAGATTATGTGTCGCTACGAGATTTCTATCTGTATACCCTAAAGCCGGTGCAGAAGCCTTGTTGAAATTGGCAATTGAACGCTTTGAAAAGTCAAAGAAGATGAAAATCTGTATAAAGGACTTGAAAGCTGATCAAGAGGGGCAACGACAAGTGAATAAAGGTTCAGATTAACTATCACTTATGATCTCTTCAAATTTGTTGAGAACTTAATTCTTATGCTATAAAAGTTTGTTTTATTGCTCCATCAATATTCCTTATGAATTGTTCATTAACATTGCAAAATTGTGAATGATTTCATATAATTTTATATTATTATATCCAATAAAATTCATATCAACTTTATAAATACTGCATCCTTTTTCGTCTAATTTTCATTACTTCTCCCATCCTCTGTCTCAATTTCAAGTTCGATGTTTTTTGCATTTTTTCCTCCTTATTCTTCCTCACCTTTTGATGCACTAGTTCTTGGTGCTGGTTTTTTCGCTTTCACACTCTTTCTATGTTTGTAACTTCATTTTTTTTTTCTTGTAGACTTTAAGACTTGAACCCAATTGGTTGCAGTGCAGCACTATTAACGCTGTGCTGCAATGGCTTTGTTCTAATTCCTTAATTATTTTGTCTTCTACTTCTCTCCGAATGTGAAGTGGTTGGTATCATTGCTGTACTACTGTTGATTTTCCCTCTTTTGCATACTCAAATATTCATTTCTTAATGTATCGTTAATAAAATTTTGTTGTGCAGAATTGGCAGGCAACGAAGACAAAGAAGACTCAAATGATGAAGATGAGATTGAAGAAGATGAAATTGAGGATGATAATGTCGAAGAGGAATTTGATGCATATGAGGCACTTGATCTGGTAAATCAGCACCTGCTTTATGTTCAGATCTTAGGTTATATAATAAGTTTGGCATTGGACCCTTCTTGTTATCTTACTTTTTATCATGGCTTCTTTTGATTATTCTTTTACATTTTTTGTTTCTAGGCTGGTGAGGATGACAGTTACTTCCCACAACCATATTCATGTATCCTTGGAAAATTTCCTTACTCTTGTTTTTCTTAAAAAAATTCTCTTTGAATATAAGAAATCATGGCCGATCCCTCAGGTAAGAGTTTTGAACTTCTACGAAAAACAGTTAACAGTGATTTAAAATTAATTTCAGAAAGGGGGGATATAATATGAAATGACTTATTTTGTATCAGGCAGACTAATGGCACAGGGATAGAGGTGAAGTCACTCTCGTAGGCTGTTGCAATGCAATAATAGAATTGCCAATTGAATTGAAATCACAAATCCTGAAATTTTAGGAAAATAGACATGCTGAAATGTTCATTCTTGCCAACAAAATGTTTGTTGCATACTAATAATGCTTCAAAGTTTCATTCCAAATTAACTAGCACTATGATTAAATTTGAATTTCCTATATGTCACAACAGATACAGACCATGAGAACACCTCGAAGAACTACTTGCAAGAACTTTTTGGTAGTTTTCCATCCAGTGAAACAGGTGGCAGTAAGTTGCAAGATGCTGACGACAGTGATGGAGAATTCCAGATATATGAACAATACAGCAATGATGATTGCTCTGATGATGATGACGACTACTAACATTCTCAATTGGTAGCTGTAATCTTAAAGGTTGGCTATCTTCTTCTTTTTCTCTTTTTTTTCTTTCTAATTATACAATTTATGTTACTTCCTACATTTTTTACGTTAAGAGACTGACAAAAGCGATGCTGCGTAACACAGATAACTTTCTTCATTACGTTATTGGAGTGGGCCTGCGTGTGATCGACTTGCATGATGCATAACATGTGCCATTCTATGTTGTATTAGAAGTATCATCGTGTCCTAAACTGTTTGTAGCCTTACCATCAAGCATATGCGCCTGTTTTTTTGGCAGTTGGCAGGCCTCAACTTTCACGATTCTGTAAATACCTCCCTCCCTCCCTCCCTCCCTCCCTCCCTCTTGGTCTTCAACTTTTAGTTTTTGCACATAACCCCCTTGAAGTGTAAGAGATGCTGCAAATCACCCCCATGCCGTGTGTGGACCATTATGGAATGGATGAATTAGTATCCTATGTGATTTTAAATTGTAAAACTCCTATAATGCCCTTTTAGGTAAACTGCGAAACTCCCCCTTAACTTTCATGATTCGTTTTTGCACATAACCAAGTTGATGATGATGATTATAAATGTTATTATTATTATTATTATTATTGCACTTCACCCTTAACAGCTACTTGTTCCCAAATTATTTGAGAATTCTTATATTAGTAACATCTGTATAACGAATTAACGATATGTACCTTTCTCGAGATGCATTTTCCCCGAGTCAAGCTCACCAGTCATCACCAGATTTGTTTTTCTAGTTTGGTCAAAATTCTTTCGAACATATTTTTGTCTGCACCTCTTAAGTTCCAACATTTCATGATATTTATTCCCAAATCATTTCAGGCGACTGTTAATCTGATATACCAAATTTGTCGTCGTGCTACAGAAACAGCAACTAACCACTTAGTGATGGAAATTTTAAATGACATTTCCCCCCTAAGTCTCCCGTTTGCCAATCACATGTAAACATGTCAATTTTTTGAGACTGTTAAAGTTGTTAATGAGGATATAATAAGTTTTAATTGCAATCAAAATCATGCATTTTTTTTTTTTTTTTGATCTTTTAGGCTACAGTTTTGACATATTGTTTTCATACTGCAGGTACAATGCTGAGTTTCAATGAATCTGGCAGTGTTTTTCTGACCAAAAGTCTCAATGAAAGTAGCTTTACATGGATAAGTGTAGCAGTTTAACCTTTAGCTACAATTTTAGGCATTGCTACGTAAATTGGACATCTAAATATAAATTTTTGTCCCCAAGCTTTCGAACTGCAATGCAAACTATACATTTATTTATTTTTATTTCTTCTAAGTTTAGCTATAACATAATGGAGTCGAAAGGGGTGTTTTACTCTTATGTATTTTTGACCCCGGGTTACGATTTACTTTCACCTTTTATGTGGTCAGTTCATAGGTAAGAAAATTGCTATTGAATTGGAAGATCTCAAGTGACATTTGCGATGTGTTCAATTAGTGAGTCATGTCCATGTAGGGGTGGCTATTAGGCGGGTATTGAATGGGTCAGGGCTTAAATGGGCGGGTCATAAGCAGGTTAACCAGCTTCAACTTTTTTTTTTTTGTTTTTTTGTGTGCTAGTGCATCTTTTATCGATGAAGAGAAACATGTGAAGATGTAATATTGAAAAAGCAAAATCAAAATGATAAGGTTTCATTAATTTTTTTTCTCTCAAAATGATAAGCTGAAATCAAAACATTTTACTTTAAAAAAACAACTAAAAAATAAGAAATATTAACCTGAAAAATAGGACTCATGATTTAGTCAAGAGGGTCAGAGTGAATTATGCTTCTGGTGGGGACTTTAGAAAAATCCAATGCTTGCATATTAAGACAGAGATAGAAATGCATATAATCCAATTATACAATATCAAATATTCAGATGGAGCTTCAACAGAGAACCCAAATATGAATAATCACCAATATAGAGTGTGAGAAAGAGAGAGAGGAGAGTTTATATATATATATAGAGAGAGAGAGAGAGGGAGAGAGTTGGTCTTACCATTGATTGAATACGCGCAAAAATGAATCTCGATCGAAGAATTGCCTCTGCTATAAGTTTCTTGAACAGCCAACGAAACCGATGGATGCATTAGAGGGAGCTAGGGTTTGTTAATTTTGGAGGTGAATGAAGAGGGCGAGAGAGGGTGGGGGTTGACGAGCAGGTCTCAGTCTTAGGATTTTGTTGAGTGGGTTAAGTTGGGTACTCATCTTGACCCATTATTCACCCATTTATTATAATGGATACCCATTTTTTATCCATTAATTACCCATTCATTTAAATTGGGTACCCAAATGTTTTAATTATAATAGGTAGATTTGGGTAGTTTAATGGGTTTGGATATAAATTGCCACCCCTAAGTCCATGGATGCTCATCTTTTTTATTTGATAGAGAGTAATGTACAAGATTCATTATTTGGCTTGAGAGTTGAATCCGTCTTGTTAGTTGCAACTTGCAAACTAATTTTAACTACTTTTTAAATTTCAACTAAATTCCCAAATAATAGAAATTTAAATTTTCACAACATATCAACAACAATCCACTATGCTTTTAAGCATAACATATGCAATCATAAGCAATAGAATATAAGTTTGCCTCCTCACATAATTTTCTAGGTCCTTGGTCCGTCACTACCAATATAATAGCAATTTGATCTCCAGGCTAGTCTTCCTGTCAATCTCAGAATCAATGATTTGTTGTTTTAGTTGAACTTTAATATAGTTCTATTGCTTATGATTGCATATGTTATGCTTAAAAGCCTGGAGATATACCATAAAGATTACGGTTTTAGAGTTCTAATCATACGTTTGGAGAGCGCAAAAAAGAAATACCATAAAGATTACGGTTTTAGAGTTCTAATCTCGAAAGGGAAATTGTGCATTCAGAAACACTTTGGTTTATCAAGACTCGTGTCAAACAATTGATATGCATCAAGTATCCTTCAAAAGAACACTTGGTTCAATTCAAATAGATTTTTGTTCAATTCAATTGGATTTTTTTCCCAAATCAAAACATTTAAGAATAAAATCCCTAATGCATGACCAACGGGTCAGTGGCCTAGCGGTACCAACCTCTTACTTCCCAAAGGAATATCAGGGGTTCAAGTCTCAAAAGAGACAAGTGTATGATTATCAACTAAGAAAAAAAAAAATCCCTAATGCATGAACCCATACACCCTTGACTTTAAATTGACACAAACTTTTTGGAAAATCTTGATGTACTACAAATTAAAGAGACAAACTCAAGTTTTGACAACAAAATTACACCAATACAAGTCCTATTGGCCTGCAGTGAAATATAGACTGATATACTTCTACGCGAGAACATTGTTTCAGATTTTTTTATTTTTTATTTTAAATAAAAAATGCAAACTCAAGTTATCATCACAAAAATATACTAACCTAAGTCCTACCGACCTATAGTGCAAAAATATATTTCAATGCAAGAACATGGTTTCAGATAAATAAAAAATTAAACAAATAACCCTTCTGCAAAACAAATGCCTCTGCAATTTAGTGTCATTTTTGCGAGAATAATAATTAAAGACTTGACACCCTAAAAAATGCATGAGATAATTTGATGCTTCGACACATGAAAGACGGTAAATACTCACTGCATCTTACTTTCATCTAACACTAGTTTTGCGTACAATTAATCCTCTGGTTCCCAAAAACTCCATAAATGTACACATCCATGAATCATGTAAATCACATAATGTTCAGTATGTTTCCTACAAAGGCTACAATTTCTACAACTTGCAAGAAATAAATTTAAAAATTAATACCCTCTTCTTCCAATGAACAAAAAGAAGCAATCTGCACATAAATCTCAGCAATCTGTGTTTGTTGAATTTAATCTATGAACAAAAAGAAGCAACCTCTCTCTCTCTCTCTCTCTCTCTAACCCATCTATAGACAAATGAACAAAGTTGTTGCTCTCCATCAATCTAGGTAAAAAAGAGTCACGATCTTCCTCATATTTTTAGCTTCTTGACATGTTTCCATAAGCAATCTGCTGTCATGGAATGCAAAGCAAATGACTTGCTGAACCTGTGAAATAATGTCCATGTTACATAACCTGCAGTTCACCACAAACATGTATCAGATGAAACCCCACAATATCACCAAAAGGACGACCCCTGTATCTACTATAAACGAGTAAGATTAAATCAATGGTCTGGTTCTCTAAACTCAATATGAAAGAACGGTCAAAGTTTCTCCATTGATGTAAAATCTGGCTGTAATATAGATAGATAAACTCAAAAATTGTCATCGTCATTCACACTCGCTACACTGAACAAATTGTCATTGTCATGTAACGAGGGAAGTTCCAAATTACAGCACTTTCTGAAATTTCTTTTAAAAGCACTGATTTGGATATCCCTTAAGGCATACATCGTTCAGAGCAATTAGGGGTAACTTCACCTTTACATTGAACTTAATTGAAGAGGTCTCTGAATCAGCTGTCATCTATACCTGGAGGTTTGTTTCAAGAACAATGCTTAGTGACCCTGACTCGCCAACACTGACTGTAAGGGTGGAGGGGGTGTGGGCCCTCACAGACACAGTCGGTGGCAGGTGAGTCGAGGCACCTGCTATTTTCCTTGTTCCATTGGACAATAATATAGAAACAAAAGACAAAGTGTGGAAAGCAATAAAATAGAAACGAACAAAAATAAATACACAGAATAGTAGAAAGAAAAGGTTGCCTTAGCAGCTTAGCTCACAGACCTGCTGGCTTCTATCAAAGGTAAATGATCATTGTGAGGCTTCTCTATTACATTCTTGACCTGCAAATCCCCAAAAAAGGAAAGGACAAAAAAATATATATTACATGCATATCGTAATGCCCCAATAACATCCTTTAGAACTAGAATACAAATGAAAACTTTGAATTAAATTAGGGATTTTTTTAACCTCATCCATAGGTACTTTGATCTTGTTGTTTACTAACTTGATTCAATCCCACACCAACAGCTTAGTTGTAATGGTATATCCTCTACTTCCAAGTGGAACAGTTGAGGGTTCAAGTCCCCCAACAGAGACAATTGTCAGTGTGCATGTTTTTACCAACCAAAAATATAAAATAGAAGTCTAGAGCCGATGTTAACCCATACACACCCAGCTACATAATGGCAAACCCCTCCCTCTCTCTCCTACAACTAAAACAAAGATTCATGTTTACAAACATTCCAACCATCGAAATGGTTCAATGATCTACGTTGTAGATTATTTCCTCCTTGTTTGGCCATAGACAGTAGAGGTGATCATTAGTAGGGAAAAACAACCATCTAAGTCAGTTCAAAAAAGGGACCACCAATAGGACCTAAAAACACATTCTGGCATTAAATCAAGAAGGCAATTTCAGTTTCGATTTCTGTACATCAAAAACCCTACTCATTGTAAAAAAAGACTTGCAATAAAAGATGAATACAGCAATACAAGATTGGAATCAACAATGAGTCTTAACTGCCTAATTTTATCCTGATAATTCAGAAAGTGCAAAAAATTGGGAGGATCATAAAAAGATTTTTTCAAATCGGTTCAAAACAAGTTTATTCTTTTATGTTAACAGCTCCCTTAGCAAGGGAGATCTTGGAGCCGGTTCTTCATCACCCCGTGAACCAAGTCCATTTGTGGCACTTTAGAACCCATGTTAGTATGTTACACTGACCACGAAATACAAGCCTGACAACATCATAGACTTTAATCAGGTGGCTCAAAAAAATTCAATTTTTTTAAATTATCAAAAATAAAATAAAAATAAAAACAATGCTACTAACTCACCAAAAAATGTTGAACAGAATAAAGATGTGTAATAGTTAAAAACTTTCATGAGGAACTTACGAAAAATTGGAAATGTTACAAGTTTGCAATGCATGGAACAAAAGAGCAAAAAGAACTATGTAACTAGATTCTTACCTTAGACAGTAGTTCTTGGCTCTCTGGAGGTTGTTTTTTCAAACTTTGAGGCAATATCACGGTAAGTAACTCTGGTTTCTCAGCTCTCAGAGCACCTCTGATAACAGCTGCATTAGTCCCTGATGCTCCCGATGTGAAAATGTGGTTTTTCTGAAAAAGAAGAAAAATAAATATGTATAACTTAAAGGAGACTCCACTTTGTCAATCGTAGTGTTTTAACCCATAGGCAACTGATCCTAAGCTTGGGAAAAAGGAGGGATGTTTACGTAACTGGCAGCCAAAGACCTTTACAAACACAAATTTTAGAAATATTCAAGTAAATATTAGGACGTGCTCTTTAAATGAGAGAACGCAGCATCAACACACAGATGTTCAAGAAAAATGGGCAAGGAACACTGCTGCTACACTGGATGCAGTGAAAAATGGGTAAAGATTCTGTGCTGTTCTGGACAACCATGGGCAAAGAAACTAGTCAAGGAGAGTAGCGATTTTAGAATGTAGGAACATTGACAAGCACAAAGTTGTTGCAAACTACTCCCTCCGTCCCAAAATAAGTGTCCATTTTGGGGAGTAGAAGTTTTCAAGGGGACAGCAATTAATGCATTATCCCCTTTTAAATTACTAAGTTACCCCAAGTTTGAATTTTTTTTAAACTTCAACGGCATTCATGGAAAGGTGTGAAATATCTGGTTTTGAATTTTTTAAGTGGGAAAAGTATTTTGGGACAGCCCAAAAAGGAAAGATGGACACTTATTTTGGAACGGAGGGAGTATATTGGGAAGGTTAACATAAAATGCTTACAAGACACTGTGTGGTGTAAAGCAAAGAGAGACAAGAGAAGAAGAATAGGGAAGAAAGGAAAAGTAGGAGAGAAAATATGCATCACAAACTCAATCAATCAAAACAAAGTAATTCTAGAATTTCAACACACATATATAGTGATGTAGGACAGGTAGTGTGATTGATGTAGAACTAGAAAAATAATGAGCCTAAAAATAATGAAACCTCAAAAAGTTTAAGGAAAAGAAAATAACGAAATAAAATAAAAACCCTAAAACTCAAAAATACAGAAATAAGCCTAGTAAAAGTATCCTCTACGTGAGATGAATGTGCATTGTGCAATACAAGGGATACTTGAAAGAAAGTAATTATTGATAGGAGACTTTATTGGTCATGTAGGAAAAGATTTATGGAGGCTATAAGATTGTGCATGGTGGCATTCATTTGGAGATAGGAATGACATTGGGGAGGTTATCTTAGAATTGTCAAGTATAAGATGCTAAAAGGAGGAACAAAATTGGGCAGATGAAACATATAATTAGATGACTGAGTATTAAAATAATATCAAAAGAGGTTCTTAAAGAATCAAAAGGACCCGGCCATTATTAGAGAAAATTTGTGGTAGGATGAAGACGTCCAAACTGTAGTTAAACAAAACAATATAATTTTTTTTAATAAGTAAAATTTCATTAAAGAACGCACAAAGGAGAGGGCTCCCAAAGAACTACACAAAAAAAAAGACCTCTATATTGCCAAGCTATCCACAAAGTCTACAAAGTCCTCTATAAATTTACAAGCTATTCCTGAAACTCAAAGAAACAGAGAACTCAACATGTAATGCTTTAGCACCCAAATTGGAGCTTCCAAAGTCACACCATTGAAGGACCTTCTATTCCATTTCACACCACAATCCCCACCAAATACATAGAGGAGTTGCCCTCCATGCATCTCAAACTTGTCTTCCCACTGTACATTCCAAGACTCAAGCACGCCCATAGTTGGAAGGCTTGAAGCTAGCAACACCCATTGCACCCTAAAAAGGACAAAAAGCATACCCAAACATCTTTAGCCAGTGGGCAAGGCAAAATGAGATGATTCACTGACTCGTCATCCCTTTTCCACTTGCAACACCAACTGATCACAATTTGCCGCCTCTTATGCAAATTATCAAAGCGTCGCAATCCTCCCCGAAGATGCTATCCATCTAAAGAAAGCCACCTTTTGAGGGGCTCATGCTCTCCATATCGCTTTCCATGAAAAAGATGTTGCCTAGTCACTCCGTATCACCTGATAAAACGATCGCACCGCGAATCCTCCATTCCAATAGTCCGACCAACTCCATTCATCAGCACCCTCCCTATCCACATCTTGCTTATGTAGCAACCCAAAGAAAGCTCCAATACACTCCATCTCCCGGTCTTGAAGGTGTCTTCCAAACTGCACATCCCATGTCATCCTCCCTTTATCAAGGTGATAACAGTCAGCCACCATAATTTGTTTATCCACTGCAATCTTCAATAGCTTCAGAATGCATGCAAGAGGTCTATCTCCGCACAAGCATCCATCCAAAATCGGATGTCTTCCACATCTCACCTTGAATCGAACATGTCTTGAAAACTTACCTCCTCCGCAACTTGTTTCTCTCCACCACAAGTCTACAAGCTATTTCCCCATCAAGGCATGGTTAAACTAGTTGAATTTACTTAATCATAAACCACCCATCTGAAGAGGTTTACAAACCAACTCCCAGTTCACCAACAGGAATTTATACTCGTCTCCCACTCCTTCCCACAAAAATTCCATTTGCAACCTCTTTATCCTTCTTACTATGGTGGCAACGATTGAAACAAAGATAGAAAATATGTTGTAAGGTCCAAGAGGGTACTCATGGTTAGAGTTACACGACCTCCTTTCAAAAGATATTGCTTCTTCTATATTGCTAACCTTTTCGCGAACATCCCCACCACTTGATAGATGACACCCTCGACTAAACTCCCAATGGTAGAGCCAAATATGTCACCAGAAATGCCCCTAACACCATATCCAAAAATACTAGCTAGAGTAAATAAATTCTACCTTCGCTGCTCAAAAGTATCTCACTCCTGCTAATATTTATCTTCAGCCTGGATTGAAATCACACCAGCACACATCTCAGGAATGCTGAAGTTGATGACCTATAAATTCTTGCCTTTGTTACTTCTCCTTCTTTAGATTGTGGACACTGTTGGGCAGCGGAAACGCACTAACACAAAGATCCAATGAAAGCCAACAAAGCAATCACGCACAAACATAAGATATAACATGGTTCAGCCAAAACCGACTTACATCCACGGATGAGAAGAGATTCACTATGATTCGTAGAGATATTACAACAACAGAGTACAAACACTGCATATATCACTCCACAAGCCTATCTCCTCGCTACCAGTGTCACCGGTGTTTTTCCTACTCTACCAACCCATAAACTACCTCATGAGACTACCTCTCTCTCAATCTCACAAGTCTCAACCCATAACCTATGTGCCTATTTATAAAATTACAAATACAATTCCTTGTTGGACAAGGATTACAATTCGTTGGAGTCCAAAACTTGCCAAACAAACAATTACTTAATAAAATACAACTCTAAAATTGAAACATAATTAGAATAGGAATTTGAGACACAATTTTCAACTGACACAATAAATTAAACCCTATTTTGTATGTGGGTTCTTGTCCCTTTTGTTTTAGTCAATGATCCTAATATGTATATATATATCTTTTTCTTCAAACATTCTCTCATTTCTGTTTTCAAAATTTCAAAAGCAGATGTAAGTTACCAAACGTGTTCTGCTTTTGACATAAATGACAGCACAACAAATCACTGATGCCGTTTTCACAGAAATGACAGCAGGATAAAAAAAAAAAACAGCAATGTTACCAAACAGGCCCTAAGCAAACCAAGCTTGCATAATGGCACATTAAGCTCGTGTAGGCACGTGAAAACATGTGTACAATAACAACAACCAAGCCTTTTCCCAATTAATTGGGATTGGCTACATCAATCCTATGCTTCTATTCCGCTCTATTTAAGGCCATACCCTCAGTCAACCCATGAAAACATGTGTAACAGATTTTTTAACTTTTGAAAAAAATATACATTTATTTATTGAAAAAAAAGTACTAAAATATAAATAAAAAGATCATAAAAATCTAAAACATTGATTTGGGACCAAACGAGCCAAACCAAACCGGTAAGTGAAAAGGCTGAGGATTACCTCAGGTTTTTCAGCTCAACACTAGTCTGAGACGAAGCTAAATAGTCTCAGGCTTGAATAGGTTCACTTTCCCTGATTATGGCTTGTCCTAACTAATAACTTTGTGTAATAAGATCATAATAAATAAGCAAATGCATATTAGTAACAAAAGATTTCACTGTCTATATAAAAATAAGGCGAATATCCAAAGTTGTACTACCTCTATCCCATATTAGTAGTCCATTATTCCATTTTAGAGTGTCTCAAATTAGTTGTCCCATTTGACAAGTCAAAGTTGTGTCCATAATTATCCTTTAAGTTTTCAAATATCTCTCAACTTAATAATATACACTTTTTAAGCTTAAAAGGACAATATGGTAATTCTAAAAGGGGACAATGCATTAGTTGCATGTCCCCTAAAAAAGTTATATTATCAAAGGTGGACAACTAAAATGGGAAGGAGGGCATACAAATTATTGTAATATTAAATTAATAAGCCATACCATGAAACTTTTGCAAAGCAGCAACTAAGACTTGAAACAAAAGATGTCAAAAATTAAATTAAATTAACGTTGAAGATGCAATAATGGAAAATATTTACTTACTGAGACTATTGAAAAATGTAAAGAGGAGAAGAGAGAGCATATGATATCCATAGAATGGGAGAAAGTCGTCAATAAATATAAAATATGATTGGTTTTTAAAAAAAATTAAATTAAATAAAAATAAGTATATACATTAACATGGGAAAGGACATAAATAAAATTATAGTAAAAAAATTGTTTGACACAAGTGACTTTTCAATTATTGCATGCTTAAATCAGGGATGTCCCTTAACTCCTTATCTTTTTCCCTTACAGATGAACTGGTGTGAACACAATGCACACATCTGATGAAATTATTTTCATTAATAAGTAAATATGAATCCTTAAGCATGGTTTAAAGAAAACGAAAGTGTAGTAGCAAAACTGCAAAAGTAGAAATACAAGTGAGGCCGAGTGTAAACAAATACGAAAAGGAGAACAATGGGTATGGTTAAGTAGAAATTGAGCTAGGCTTGATTATACACTAAGGAGAGATTGGATATGACGACGTTTATATCGTCAAAGAATGGTGGGTTAAAGGGAGAAGTGTTTCTTCCACATTAAGTGATCAACATATATTTTGACATTTAAAACCAATATATATATATACACACACATACATACATAATAGTTATTAGACCAATCAATTGGACAGTCTATAATGTTAAAAAATGGGTATCGCTCAAGTGCAGATGTCAAAAGAAAAAAAAGTGTGGTTACTGTAATGAGACAAAGAAAGGATTTAATATCTTCAAGAAATGGTTAAATTAGCAAAACATAAGATGAAATTAGAGAAACCATGCATAGCAAAGATAAAAATTGTATCAATAAGAGTGATGTGGTCTCCCTCCTTTAAGGATGATGGTAGGATAAGCCTATAAAGGCAAGACCAATTCGACATGTATTGAGACAGTAAGAAAGGATATGACAGTGTGTGGTTTAACTATAGTTATGGTCCTATCGCCTTAAATAGAGTAGAATGATGAAACATAATTCACATATCCAACCCCAAATAATTTTGAGTTATGTAGCCTTTCAAGAACTATCCACAATGTGCACAAGTTGCAAGAACAACATGCAATCTGAAGCTCAGTAGTGGGTAAATATCAAGTCTCCGCCTGCCCAACAGTACTCGGTACTCACAGCTAAACAAACCAAAGGAAAAAAAAAATTCACAGTATCATACCGTTATAACCATTGCATAGCTAAGAATCTCAATAAGTTCTTGATGCATGAATCCCATATTTCTTGTTCCAAAAAATCCAATCACCCTCGGCCCCTGTTGCTGAATTGCTAATAACTCCTGCAAAGAAAACAAAATTTAAATAATTAAATATATATATATATATAACACAAACTGGCCACAATACCAGCAACCAAAGCCAGATGTCCATGGAAATCAACATAAAGGGCTTAAAAGGGAGGCCCACAAATTGAAACCGAGAGGAGACTCGAGTCGTGTGTTAGGTAGTCTAACTTAACACATCACTGTCCATGGAAATCAACATAAAGGGCTTAAAGGGAGGCCCACAAATTGAAACCGAGAGGAGACTCGAGTCGTGTGTTAGGTAGTCTAACTTAACACATCACTATTTTCTGTGATGCAAGACCTCCCACAAAACAATCTCCCACGGGAGATTGTTAAAGCCAGGAATATCACAATCAGATGATTTTGAATGTCCAAAACAAAAATTCTTGCTAAAGTTTATCCAAGACAAATGTGCACTCAAGGAAGTGATAAAATCAAACCATCATCTAGTCATCCTAATATATATCATGTAGATTTCTAAATGCACATTTGTCATCGGGTCTCATCTTTTTGTGTGCAACCTTTTGTTTTTTTTTTTTTTTCGGTTTAGGTAAGTACTCACACATTTCACAAATTGCCCACTACGGAGCTTGAACCCCTCACATCCCCTTTGAGGGAGGAAAGGTTATACCATTGGGCTAATGGCCCATTGGTTTGTGTGCAACCCGTTCGTAATAATAATAATAGTAAATTTAAAAAAAAAAAGTGCTTGCAGAGGTATGTGTACTCAAACTATGTTGCATGGGCTTTGATCAGGTGTGGGTGTGCCTCTAAGTGTCAGGCTCCACAATTCCCAAATTTTAGAACACTGGAAATGTGTCCAAAAGTTGGATACAAGTATTTATGCATGTATATAAATAGAATAATGTGGCACTGTTATTAAGAATACACTCAATTATTATTTAAGTTAAATGCCATTTGCTAAAATAAATAAATAAAAGGAGTTTCTATCTATCTCATTAATAGGAAACTTTTTTCTGCTATGAAATTTTAGTTATTGTTTTTGCTTCAATTATCACATGTGAAGGATAGGGAGCTGTCTGATTTGGTTTGTGCATTAGACACATATCCCATACCTATGTCATGTCATGTAGACATGCGTATGTAAAGGGAGAAAGGAGAGTCCATGTATCACAGTACTCAAATACAAGATAACCTTGAAAGGACAGTAGATTAAAGCCTAAGGGGAGAAATAGCTCAATTGAAGAACTGACCACTCCCCGTATATTAGAAACTCATTCCAAATCAACTTCATTAGTGACTCGAGAAGATGGCAAACCTGTAAATAATCCACATCCGGAGCAGGCTTATACTCCGATATCAGAACTGCCCCTGCCCCTGACCCTTCCACAACAGATTGCGCTTGGGTTGGAATCTGTGTAGTGACTTCTTCATCAGAACCAAACATTTGCAGATGATTCTGGTCTTCAATGCTCAAACTGTCGTCGTTTTGATCTCTTTTGGCATATCCACAGAGCCACTATACCAGCACATAAAAAACAGAGGCCCCTGGTAGTAAATCATTAGTGAAAACCAACTGCGAATAGAAAGAGGTGATAAAGACAAGTTCAAGTTCACAAAAGCAGAAGCCAAATGTTTCAAAGTCTTAGAATAAAATAGATCATTTGATATAAGAAAGCTTAAAGTGGGCTTGAGTCCATATCATGGGGTTAAAAGATAGCAGTATGATGTATGTGTAATATATTTTTATGAAATAAAGCCTACAAAGGTAGCTATAAATATGATCAAATTGCAGAATACTGTATCAGATATGGAAGGACTGAGGTCCATCAGTTGACAAGTGTAACCTATAAATCTTTTACAACCTAAGAAAAAAGTAGTAAGCTTTCAAACTCAAGTCAAAGAACCAATTCCAAGTCAAAAATCTCTTTATATGCATCATTTTATATGTTCCGTAATACAATGCGTCATTTTGGAGGATGAAAAAGGGAAAAGAAACAGTTTCTTTGTTTTACATCAGAAGATAAAAATGATATTTTCCTAACAATTATTCTTAATATTGTTATATTAGTTCTTTCCTTTAAGTGCTTGGTATCAAATGTTGCATTACTATGTGATTTATGATACTAGTTCCTAGAGTGTTCAAATTAATATGATGAATGCAGATGTTATACCCATCAGGGATTGTCATCTATGCGCCTATGCGGTACGAAGAGCTATACGCATGGAACTTCAAAGGATTTCAGAAAGGTTTAACAAAGAGGTCATGAGAGTCGATATAATAGCAGAGATGATACAATCCGTAAGTATGTGCTGTTGAAATAACGACAGTTAGTAATAATAGTTCCCTAAGATTTACCTATTAACATAATTCAGTGGCAATAAGATGAAACATAATTTCATTAACTTCATCATCAAAAATGTCATCTAAGCTCAGGCTATAGCATCTAAATGCAGCAATCTTCTCATATCTGCAGATATCAAACCAGCTTTCTAAAAATTAAATTTCTTTGTGACTGCTACTAAAGAGAGTTTAGCAAATTCCCTTATGCACAATATACAACAAACATTCTTTCCCTGTTCACAGCCAAGGTGTAACAACAGTTAAAACATATATATGCACAAGAATCTAACTTTGACGTGTATGGGATAGCACAAGCAGATAATTATTTCCTAATTATCCCTCGTTCAGTGTATTCTTTCCATGTTCACAGCCTATGCCAACTATATAACATGATTAACTCTTGTAAATATTCATATAATAGAATACCAAACATTCCGCAAAATGAAGAGTGAGAAAAAGAGCATCTAGAAAAAAGAAGGCTCTGTAGGGCACAAAGAGAAGCAAGCCTAAAAGAAGGAAATGATGAATCTAGGATGCTATATAAGGCAAGAAGTCCCTTTCCTGACAATATCATTTAATATATGTAGATATGTATAGAACTATATATACCCTCGAGATTTGTATATACATATGCATACGAGATATCACACCGTTATATGCATGTTGTTCATGAAAAATCATTTATAAACAATATATATGTTACTGATCAGTGTTAGTATTGCGAATGAATATATAGCCTTATGTGTAAATAGTGATTTAAGTTTTCAAGATAAATTGTTTTATTCTTGCATGAATCAAATCCATATATACACACAAACTCATCAATAGATATAGGCAAACACATATAGATCTAGGATAAATGTAGTCGATCGAATCAGCACATAAGCCGACTCAATTAATCCAATTTGTGAAAAATTTCACATTCACACTGAAAATTGAATTTGGGTTTGCTTGTGTGCTATAAACAAAAGCTCAAAGCGAACTGAGAAGCAGGTGAGATACATTTGAGGGTTCCAATTAATTCAAACATATAAAAGATTAAACTTATCTTTCAATTCTCCACCACTACATTAAAGAGGAAACCCCAACTTCCATAACACCATAAAAGCATATTGAAATTAGAACAAAAAGCAAGCCCAAGCTCAAATCTGAAAACTGTTGTACCCTAAACACTTGAATATAAGACACCCAATTCTCAGCAATCCATTATATAACAGAAAAATACATGCATGTGTGTGTGTGTGGTGCATCTATATATAGATATAGATACAGATACAGATACAGATATATATATACATAGAGAGAGAGAGAGACGTACCGCATGGGTTTTAGAGGGATAGGACAAATTATGGTGGGATTTGTTTCGGCCAAAGCATCGTCTGAAAGAGTCAAATGATGATGAAGCAGAAGAAGGAGAAGTAGAGAGAGCATAAATGTGAAAGCGACTAGGGTTTGTAGTGTGGAGGAGCATTGAGGAGCTGGAGAAATCTGAAGGGCAAAAAGCAGAGAGAAGAGGCAACAATGGCCTCAAAGGTGTTGTCATTCTTCCTCTAAATTTCCTATTACTACTACTCCCTACTCCTACTATTCTCTCACCCAATCAAGCCCACACTGATTTTCAAGCCAACCTTTTCTCCAAACCTTTTCTAGAGAGAGAGAAATAGAGGGGAGAGAATGGATGGAAGATGAGAAAATCAGGTCCTTTTAAATTTAAATTTTCTATTTCTTTTTTTATTTCGTGAAGGAACATTTTTGTTTTCCATTTTTTTTTTAAAAAAAAAATTATTTTTTATTTTTTGAAAAATTAGAACATTGTACTAAGAATGTTTGAACTTTGACTCATGAGTCTTTGATTTGAATAATTGGAATTTTTTTTATCAAAAAAGATGGGAAAATATATTTTTAAAAATAAAGGAGAAAACAAATAAACAATCCATCTTTGTGGTATCATTTTGGTCAAAAGTATAAGCACGAGGAAGGCACGTGGAGCTTTTTTCAATCCTCAACCACAATTCAAAGGATGGAAAAGATTTTTAACTTTTGGGCAAAATCTAAATTGTTGAGTGAATTGTCCTTTATGCTTTTAAGTGGGTTGTTAATTATGAAAATCATCTATAAATTAAGGGAAAGTATTAACTCAAGAAATGGGTGGTTGGAGGAGACCATCTCCCATGGAATAAAGGTACTATATCTCAAGGGATTTATACGAATTTTGTTTTCTCTTTTTTCCTGAATTTTATACCACCTTATCCAATATGACTTTTGGACATGCCACATGCACATAGAATTAATTAGATATAGATGTTAATGTCACATATTCTACATTTTCGCCAATAATTTGTTGTTATAGCACCATGCTTTCGGGTTTTTCATAATTAAATTTGTTTTTAACACATTAAATTTACTTATATAAGCTAATTTTAATGTGTTAAAAAATTATTGTAATTAAAAGAGAATAAATATGTTTTAAAATTTTTAAAGTGTTAAACAAATTACAGCACCATTACAACTCATTCAGAGAATCCGGACATCTCAAAGTACACTTGTTAGGTTTTAAGATTTGTCAATATTCCACATAAACTCTCAATGTTTCATAATCCCACTTACCTCCCCTATTAGTGACTTTTTTTTACTGTTTTGTCTATGAAATGTTTGTTATCATTTAAGACATGAGAAGGGTAAAATGGTCAAATAAGGGGAATCTGTTACATAAACCAAAACCTGAGAGGTAAGTGGATTATGAAATACGGAAAGATCTATGCGAAATATTGACAAACCTCAAAGAGATAAGTGGAATTAATCCAAAAAAAAAAATAGAAACCCTACCATTTTGGAAACTAAAATGTTGACTTAAAAAACTACTGTTACCTATGAATTTTCAAAATTGCAGGAAATACATGGTCCATAAGGGGATCTTGGAAGCTATTTATTTGTTTTTTTGCTAATAGTCTGTTCCATCAAATGCGAAAGAAACCATAGAATAGGACGTCTACAGCTCAATAGTGGTCCATATTCTGTGGACCTGTGGCTCTATTTGAGCCCATCAAAATATTTGGCATGTTTTAGAAGCTATCTCGGCCTTATTACATGTGAGCTCAAGCATATTTTTTAATCTGCAAAATGACCAACATTGCCTTCTAAATTTTGGTCTCATTTTAAGCAAGCCGTTGAGATACACTGCATGATATTTAAATTAAATGTATCATACGCAATTCATGACTGATGTAGATCGATACCTGACGTGACGTCTCTCGATTAATCGATGATGTTGGAAAGAACCGACTTGACACAAACCTAATACTGTCCTCAAACTCAAACATGCATTCTCATTCTTGGTAACACGAGCTTTTACCAATAAATCAAATAATGCACCTACCATAATGACACAAGTTGAAAAAAAAAAAAAAAAAAAAAAACCATTGGTTTAAATTCAAAATTATCAGGCAAGTTTTAGAACTCTGCTTCCGAAAACACACACGCACAGATCTCTACTAGGAAACACCATAACATGTTTTGGTTCCCGGCTAGAAAGCTGAAACAAGCCCAAATATTGAATCTAATACTAGAGTTGTACAATTGGAAGGTGGACTAAAAAGGTGGAGATAACTTTGTAATATATCAAACTATCAATTCCTGATTATATAGCCCACCATCCCGAGACTAATTATTTGTGATGAACTTGTCACTGAAACATTGCTATAAAAAATTTTGCTTTAATTTAGAGATTAAAATTTACACCAGAAAGATGGTTCTGGGGCAAAAACATCATTACAACAGGACATTGCATCCCAACACTACATTACCAAGTAGAACCTATATTTTAGTAACACGGGGGCTTGCAGCAGACAGACTCATATATCCCACCTCTTCTTCACACGGAACATCAACACTGACTTTCTGATATCATCTTGTGGCACTTGGAGCATGAACTGAACTTTCATCTTCATGGGAGCTGTCTTAGCAGTGCCAGCTTCATCTCCAACCTAAGACCATGACAAAATGAAATCAGAAGTTGACTCTCAAAACCTGTTTAATTCTGCTTTCTGCAAATAGTTTTTTGTTCTTATACAATACAAACTTAAAAACTCTGTGAAAATGTGTGTGATTGGATATTTTTAAAAGTCTTTTTCTAAATTTGAAATGGAACCTAGTTTCAAAAAACATTCTTTTATAGATGATATTCTGAAATCTGGTCTGTTTTCAGAAAATTGAACCAAACAGCGCTTCAATTTCATGAGAATGAATTTCAAGGAGATGGTGAAAATTAAGGGAACGTGTGCAGCAACTTATAGCTTGGGAACATGTTAAAACCTTTTTAGATCTTGCATTTCAATTTTCTTTCCCAAAACATGCATGCCCAAATATCTAATGAAGGAAATGCATTCTAGAAATCAGCATACGCTTAAATTAGTTTATTCATCTTTATTTTGAGAAGACACCAAACAGAATAGATGATTTAAACTACAAAGACAATCACCTTATCTATAACTGAAAAAAAATAAATAAATAAAAAATTAGACTCAATTGGGCCAGGTCTTTAACAAAGTATGGAAGATATAATAAATTTAAACTCATATGCTGAGAAGGATTCCCGCTCTTAGATAGGTGGAGAGGAGGGCGTTTACAAAGGAAACATCAATCAACACTACTCATGCACTGAAAAAACCAATTCTAAGCCTAACAGACAACATATATTTATGAGAGAATTCAAAACTTATCTAGAGAAAGAGAGAGAGTTTAGAACCTAGCAGTCAATTCTGAGCCTAACAGCCGGCATGTCATTACAATATAGGAGAAATACTAACATATGTCCTCTACAATAGTAAACAACACACCCAGAAAAGTAATAACCATAGAGTACCTCAAACCCATACCTGGAACAGATATACTTCCCACTTCACAAGAATGCAGTATCATACGGCTAGTATGAAAAAGTACTAGCCGGCCTTTATGCATAACCAAAAGTATATATCTTCAGTAGATTTTATTTAATTAAAAGGTTTCAATACCCATCTTCTGACAGTAAAAGAAATAATTTTTTTGATATCTTAAATTCTTAGGATTACAGAGTTTAATTATGATTTTATTTAACAATGTACCTTTAATTTTGCCTTATAGTTGGTGTTTGAACTCAGCACCCCTCTGATGGACAGGATTGCAATTGTCATAATCAAACTGATCTCATACCAAAAGTTGCCTGGTTTAGCAGTTTAATGCATGAATATCAATTCATTAGTGGAAGTTTGAGACTCGAGCAACCACTTTGTGAAATTCCACAGGTTAGATTTGTCTTAAGTCCTCTCTCCCCAGGACCCTGTTGTAGCGGGACCAGAACTGGGTACCTTAACTAATTGAACTGGGCTTCCTAATGCAACACATTCATAGTGAATGTTTCAGTAATCATATCTATTGGAAGAAGAATGCAATAGATAAGTGGACCCAATACATGGGAACTTAAGCTAGCAAGATATGGTCAATTATAAGATAATTTACATAATATCACTGTAATGCTTTGAGCAGACACTTCAAAACCAACACTATGGACTTGGGTTCCACCACTTGTGGGAATGGTTGTTGTTACAATCAACCAATTATGAATTGCCATCTACAACCGCAAGACAAATGATTGAGAATACCATCTACAAACCGCTACACTCACAAGACAGAAATGATTGTTTGTTTGCAAGGCTGTGTTAGAACAGGTTTTGCCACCTTGGACTATTCCCAAATTCCTTCACCAAGTTGATTGAATGATTGAATTGCTTCCATGTTTTAAGTAGACATTGAAGGGAAATATTGCGACAAAATGAGCACCTCATGTATCCTGAATTCGAAGTGATGAAAGGTGAGATTCCACATGTAATCTCTGATGGAAGGATGAAACTGGTTTAAAAATTGTGTTCCTGAATCATGGCATCATAGCTCTGACCAATAAATATAATGAAGGACAAAAGGATTCTTTGTTAGAATTGTGCAACTATTATTCATTTTACCACAGGCTTCTATGTTTCTTCCCCACACCAACTTCCTTTCTAAAGAACTCTTTCAGTTAAGAAGAGCTACATAAGGATACTATATCCAAATCTAGTGCTGTATAAAAGCACAACGCATGGCTGCTTCAAATGCAAAGTTTCTTAACATAGACACCCTGTAAATGACTTGAGGGTTAAAATCTCTAGAATTGTTGCCTCTGGTTATATATAGTCAAACCTCACACTTAAACGATGTAAATGGAGCTGAGCCAAACAGTTCGCAAGCCCAAAGAGATGCAGAGGAACCAAGGTCAAACAGTTATCGCTGAGCTTGACTAGAGATGGATCTGAGTTCCAACACCATTCATTTCAACCAAGCCAAACTCAGACAACTACCCGGTTCAGCTTGGTTTGTCTGCAACTCTAATGACCCCTTAATCTTTTGTGGTGATTAGATGTTTCCAGTTTTCTCAGCAAGAATATGTGTTCAACACAAGTCAGTAAAGTTAAAGGAGAACAAAAGACTTCTGAGTTTGAACTCATTCAAATCTTAACAAGTCCTTAAATTCATATGAGTTTTGAGGTCGTCCTAACTTCTGTTGATGAGTAAGTCCCATATAAGATAGGTTCAAAGAAGCAAATAAGAGAAAAGAATTTTGACTTCGTACTAGCCTAATTTTAACCTATCCTCACGTTTATCCTCACGTTTAGATAAGCTTTAGATAGTCTGCCTAATTTTGGAGTGGGCCTTAAACATGTGTTAGTTTTTAGATGAGACTGAACTCGTCTGAATAATTTGGAGTGAGCCTCAAAGTTATAAACTTCTGGAACATTGTTTTTGGTGTGTGCATGTGTGTGTGAGAGAGAGAATGGGAGAAATAAAATATACATAACAAGTATAAGAGTGATACCAGATTTTGCAGTACCTTACTACTTTAGTAAGCGTACAGACATGGTACAGAATAGATTGGTCAATCATTTCTTATCTTTGTTAAAATGGCAAAGACATCCTCTCTTCTAATGCTGGGCTATATAGGGCACTGTTTGGGGTCACAATATGCATGGAAGTGGTTGTATTTCCATCTGTTTTTGTACCCCATAAAGATTATAAGCAAATGGAAAGGGGGACACAATTAAATGTGTACAGCCCAGTCGACCACCAGAGCAGCTAAAGAGTAATGGAGTAAACAAGAAGCAACTATAAGAATGAAATAAATATATATATTTACTAAGGGCCAGAAGCTATTCTGTGAAACAAATAAAAGCACTTACCCAAAGGGATGCCCAACCAAGTCGCGCTGCTGAATCATAACCAGATTTGAATTTGAAGTCCTTGCCAACAGTGTGTTTGTACACCGTACTCCAGTAGTTTGAATCAAAATTGTACAAGTAGCTAGCAATAGAATCATAAAAATAATTACAAACTCAGCCCTAGTCATGAACGAGGCCTAAAATTATCGACTCGCAAAAAACAAGGCCAATACCAATTCATAACTGTTCAATAAAAGTTTACAAATAAATAATACTATTTCACACTAAAACAACCTAATTCAAGTTAACACCCACATGCAACTACTATTATGGTTACCATTAAGCTAATAGTAATTTATTTCTGTTATCACTTCTAAGTAACATTTGAGTACTTTATTTCTGTTAACTTAAAGCCATAAAAGTATAAGACCAAGGACATAAATACACCCTTATACGTATGTAACAATCTCACCCCCCCAACCCCCCCCCCCCCCCCCCCCCCCCACACCCCAAAACCAAAAAACACATAAAATTGAGGGTTAGCATAGGATGAATTGACCAAATATGTACATGAATTGACAAAATAAACTAGTGACTTGACAGCCCTGTCCCATGTTGAAATATACCAATTTTAAGTCAGACATCTTTTGGCATGATCAATTTACATAACATCCCCGGTTGTTTTAACTCACTGTATTAGACACTAGCATACATCACAGCCCATTTAAAAACATAGCTCAGTACCACTTTATTGAGTGTTTCACATAGTTTTCATTGGTTCAGATAATTCAAAGAGATGAACTAGTAGGTGTCTCACTTCTTACTAAAATAAATTAAGTCAGTCCACCAAATTGGATCAAACCTAAGAGAACTCAAGCAATTGTGATTCTATGGCGGTTATTGACGTTTCAGCCCCTTCAAAAGAGAGATGCTTGCAGAAATAGATCTAGTAGTTCAAGATTTAAATATCCCAACTTTAGCAGGTGGACCAACAGTAGCATATCTTCAAACCCTAAGTGATTATATAGTATTGCGGAATCTTAGGATCAAAAGCATTTTGCATATAATTTACAAAATTGGTAGTTCTAGAACCAATTCAAATACAGCAAACATATATGATTGTGCTCAAGTTAGTGAACTATAATTACACACACACGGAGGAAGAGATGAAGGGAGGGAGGGAGGGGGAGAGAGAGAAATTCACCTCAATTTGTCAGAAGGACCAAACCGACGCTTAAAAGCAAAGGATATTGCATTTGAAGGAAGTGAAATGCTTGGAATAAAGGCCATTTCCTCATCCTGCAGCAAATTCAAAACATTCAACTCAATGCACTCTGAGCAATCAACACTTAGCAGATGGGAATACACAGAGTCAACAGGTTACAGAGCCAGCATTTTCTGGAAATGCAACCAATCTAATTCGGAAGTTACAAAACTATTGGTTGCATTCAACAATCTAATTCTAAATAAATATGAATAGAAAGAAATGAAGGCAATGAAATAAACAAGCTTTTTCCCCTTTTCTGGGTGAGCAGAGAAGATAAGAAAATGCATTTGATGAAAAGAATTCTAAAGAAACTACCTTATAACAGTATCTCAGATTCACATTTTGATCCTCATATTGAGCATTAAAAACCCCATTTAGAATATGACCTTTAAGGATCCCATTTATTGACAACATTCTCCGCACTTCCTCCTCCTCCTCCTCTTTCTCAGCCAATGTAACTTCACCAAGTGGGAATTTAAAGGTTGCTCTTGGCTGCAAGAAAGGCAAATAATGAGTTCAGAACCGTAGTATGCTATTGTTCAATGAGCTAGTAAAAAAATCAATGTACTTAATGCATAGGAGTAAAGCTACACTCAGCCTACACAAACACTATCACTAAACATAAGTGCAAAAGGTGCAACTTGAAGTATGCTACCAACAGCATAAGGTGGATGAGCCAAGAAAGGAAGAAAAAAACAAGTGGCCCACAACACTGATAGTCCCACAACTACCTCAAAAGTAAATGCGCAATCCTGTTCAACACCATATGCAAAGAATTATTCTCACCAAACCAACAGATGGAACAGCAGATGAAAGTTCAAATTTATAGGCTGGACCAGCAAGATCAGCAACCATTGTTACCTCCCCTTGTTGTGCCTAAAAAGAAATAAGATTTGTTAAGAGAGCAACATTTCAGTATATATAGTTTAAATTGAAAATTCACTGGTGACATTACAATGCTAGGAAACAATTTCAGTTCAAGAGATATCACATAAAGCATTAATATTGCAGCATATATAGCAAAAATATTTTGTAAGAGAGCAACATTACAGCATATATAGTAGAAATTGAAAATTCACCGGTGACATTACAACGCTAGGAAACAATTTCAGGTCAAGAGATATCACGGAAAGCATAAATATTACTCTCTTAAGAGAACAACATTACAGCATATGTAGTTTAAATTGAAAATTCACCGGAAACAATTTCAGTTCAAAAGATATCACATAAAGCATTAATATTACAGCATATATAGCATTAATTATTTGTAAGAGAACAATATTACAGCATATATAGTATAAATTGAAAATTCACCAGTGACATTACAACGCTAGGAAACAATTTTAGGTCAAGAGATATCACGTAAAGCATAAATATTACTCTCTTAATTTTATTTACAAAAAAATTGAACTCTAATTAAGGAATTACAATATTATGATTCAAAATTGTTATGTGAAACAATCATTTAGAGGCTACATTTTTACCATGAAACTTCATCTTGTAAATTGCACCTCAAAGAAATCACTGAATGGTGCTAATCCAACTATGCAGGTTTAAAACAGCAACCAAGCCTTTTTTCCCGACTACTTGGGTCAGCTACATGTATTTTATGATTCCATTCCGCTTTATTTAAGACCATAGCCTCGGTCAATCCACGTGCTATCATACCCTTCCTCACTAACTCTACCCACGATAACTTTGGTCTTCCTCTTCCCCTAGTATTACCCTCAATGTGGAGTATGCGACTTTTCTTAACTGGCACACTTCAAGGTCTTCTTTGCAATATGAAATTGTCAATATGGAGTAGAAAGATCGCAGATGCTGTACAACATCACCCTTGTAGGACATGTTATGCGACTTCAAAATCATTATAAATGGAACAAATATGCAACCATCAGCCCCAAAAGGAAGCATGTCACTAACCATATCCTAGATCAAAGATTGTTCAGTAAATGAAAAAATCTTCTTAAATTGAAGTCCACCAAACCAGTGTCATGATAAGTTCCCAGCTATTGGAAGAAATCACAATGAACAACAGAGTAATTATTTCCTACTCAAATGAATTTTGCTTAGAATTCTCATTTGATGGGTTTATGTGTTTGAAGTTGAATTAGCTTCATTGATTGGTCTGCTCTGTCTATTTCGCTCAATCTTTGTAAATTTTGTGACTGGAGGATGGCAAGAGCCTGAATGAATTGACCTTAGTGAGCAATTTAAAATGTGGTTCTGAAATTATGGCAATGGTGTAACAGAAAACTGGCGATCCCGAATGAACAATTAAGGTCTGGTGTTGCTTATATATACATATCCATCAACATATATATATATATAGGAAGAGAGAGAAGAGGGGTGACCTTGACATCATGAGCAGCCTTCAACTGCACACCAGGAGCAACATCCAGAAACCCATTGACAAAAGCGTTCTGCTCTTCGAGATCGTAGTGGAGCGAGAGATGCTTGGAGGTGAGGGCCAACTGGGGCTGGAAGATCTCGCCCTTGCTGTTGTTCTGAAAGCACAGCTTCAGCTTCGCAAGATTATCGAACAACTTGCTTGATATCTTGTGCAAGAAGATGGAGCTATCACTGTCGAACTCCGATGTGACTCTTATGGTCGGTCGCCGAGGCAACCGTATGAAGCCACCGCCCTGGGTTGGCGGCGGAGGCGGCGGTGGTTGAAGTGGCGGTGGAGGATCGCCGGCGGTTGCCGATGGTGAGGGCGAGTTAGGGTTTGGTGGTACTGATTCCACCATAGTTATCTGTCTGGTGAATTTGAGAGGTGAGAGAGAGAGATGAGGGAGGTGAGGACTGTGAAGAGCGAGAGAGAGGGTGTTTGGAATTTTTAGGCGGAAATGTAGATGGAGATTTTTTTTTTTTTTTTTTTTTTTTTTTTTTTTTTTTTTCTGGAAATGTAGATGGAGATTGATTCCGACAATTTTTATGAATTGAAAAAAGTGGGTTTTGAACTACAATAGTTTGAATGGAGGTTAATAGGGATTTGGTACCACTTACCTAATTTAGATGTGAAATTTGAACTGTTTACCACAAATTATTAAATATTCTTTTTTTTTTTTTTTCCTTCCTCATAAATCAAATTATTAAATGTTATTAAACAATAAGTTATTTAGTGGTTCAATTGACCAACAGGCTTCAGAATACATGCACCATTTAAGTTATGAGTGCAGTTCCAAAGTGAGATTTAGAGAACTTATCTCTCGAATCCTGTTAAATCAAAAACATATTTATAGTATTTTTTTTCATTAATAATATGATTAATATCTTATTCAACTCTTATTGGTTCAATTTTTTAAGTGAAGAGTTTTGATTGGATTGAATAAAAAATTTTAAAAAAAAGTACAAAAACGTCAAATAATTTTTTATAAGAATTACATAAATACAGTAACATTGAGAAGTCTTTGTAATTTCACTAATTTAGAGAAAATGTCAGTATAATTTATCAATTTTTTAGATGTTGAACATATTATTTTACCTGCTTTATATATATGTTTTATACCTTGTGCTCTTTATATTTTGATGGAGAATTATTAAAACTTATCGAGATTCATATTCTACCATTAAACCATTTCACATAACTAAATCCAAAATATGTCCTCGATATTGCATTAAAATAAATTTCAAAATGTCAAGTTAGAAAACCTAAAAGCAATGTTGTTAGATTTGTCAATGCTTCAAATTCGATTCAAATTCAAATTAATAATTAAGATATGAATTAAAATATTAAATTCAATAACTCATTGCCGTCAACCATTCAAATCAAATAATATGTTAGTTAAACAAATTGGATATGAATTATAATTGATCCACTTCGATAATAATCCGAACCGATATGGCCCTGTTTGAGGGAGCTTCTTGATGCTAAGAAGTCCTTTATTAAGAAAGTCCTTGAAGAAGAACTTTTGATAAAAGGAATTTAAATCAAAAAATATGTTTGGTATATTTAATTTTTAAAGTCCTCTTGAATTAAGAAATAATTTCAACCACATAATTTAATATTTTTAAAGTGACACTGTGATCCTCACATTTTCTGAACAAGAACACCATGTATTAGAGAACCAATTATGAGAGAAAGTACATACAGCATTACCAGTTATAATATACAAGTATATACATATAAAAATACTCAATTAATCATTTTCCCTTAGATTTGGACAACTCCATAATTATTCATCTCCATGTTAATCTTAATTTGGTGCAAGTCCATCTCAAACAAAAATAAGTCCATCTCAAACAAAAATATGACTTCAAAGCTACCTCTTTCGGGTCACAGCTTACACCAGAGTCATATAAATGCACCATTAACACACTTGTGTTAGTTCAAACCTTTCTCATGTATATATATATATTGACACCCCCATTTCTAAGTCATCTTCTTCTTCTTCTTCTTCTTTTATTTTATTTTTCTTTTCATTCTATCATCAAAGAGGGTAAAAAAGGGAAAATCAAGCAAAGCACACGTTCACACCCAACAAAAAAGAAATAATAATAAATAAATAAATAAATCTAAACATGATTCTTTATTTTATGGTCAACGAAATCCATGGCGACGCATAGAGGTGATACGTCACCAATCGGATGGTGGTGCCAACAAAGAAAACTTAACGCCTGACGAGGCCGCTTGTGAACGCCAAAATAATGTAATGAATGTGCGGTTCAAGAAAAGCCTTTTGGGTCAAGTTTAAATTTATAAAAACCACTACTAACACTACTACTAACGTAGCAAGAGTGAGTAGGGATCGTCCCAAGGGATTATACGTGTTGGAATTTAACTTCAACTCTAACGTATCACAATATTGCAAAGGAGAGATTGATTGTTTAGTCTAGAAAATAATTAATTAAAATGCAAATAAAGTAAACTAATGAGAGATAGGGATTTAAGAGATATGAAGAGAGGTCTTAGGATGTTGGAATCACCGCTAGGCTCGTGTAATTAACCACTTGCTTTCCATTAATGGAGAATACATTGTTGTGAACAAAATACGACTATCAATTGCAATATTAAGCATGGACCATCTAATTTATGTATGAATTATCTACCTAAACTAAGTGTAGCACAACCCATCAATTTTAAGCATGACTCATCTAGGTAGCAACAATTGTAGCACACATCAATCTAGAGAATTATGGAATTTGCAATAATAAGCAATGGAATACCTAAGCAAGCATAGATTGTCTACCTACCTACAAGTATGAATTAAATTGTAGAACAACCCATCAAGCATAAGTATAAACTATCAAATTAATTGACAAACCCATTCAATGAAGACATATGTCTAGCCATCACTAAATCCTTAATTAATCACACATAGACATGCAACCAATATAGAGAATCTAGTGTAGAGATTAATTCCCAAATAATCACACATAAGACAACATGTAATCAAATAAAGAATCAATAAAAAGAATTAATCCATATGAATCATGTAAGAAATAATTCCTAATTTAATTACACATAAACATGTAAATAAACTAGAGAATTAATAGGAAGAATTAAACCATAAAAATCATATAAATATACCAAGATTCATTAAATTCACAAGGCTAGAACACTAATCACAACAATATATATAAATCCCCAAAAATAGAAATACAAGGGTTTAGATTACACAAGACTTAGGGCTCATCCAAGCCCTAAGTGTAGATCTAGCCAATCATGGAGGAGGTATATGTGGTCATGAAATCAAGCTACAAATATGGCTCCATCTTCTTCTTTCTCTTCTTCTTCTTCTTCTTTGAAGCTCTAGAGATGGAGAGAGGGTGGATCTAGAAATGGGTTCTTGAGATGAGCCTCCACTTCCCTTTTTTCTTCTAATCCTAATCTCTAACTTTTCTAGAGAGAGAATATAAAATTACAATGTAAAAGTAAAATAATAAAAAGCTTCTTTACAAAATGGGTCACTTCCCTTTATATAGAAGGTCATTTTCTTAGTCACTAAGTCGAAAATATAGCTCCAAAAATATCTAATCCCGTACTATAAGGTAGGTGGACTTTTGGGCACGCACGGGAATAAAACAGCTCGCTGCCAGCAAATGTTCGATCGATCAGAGAAAAATTTCGACCGATCAGAGAAAAGTTCGATCGATCCAACTTTGATCGATCTCACTTTTTGCGATCGATCTCATGATCGATCTCATTTGGCAGCTTTTCAAGATCAGCCTCTTTTTACTCCAAATTAGCCTCCTTTTGCTCCAGATCCTCACCAAGACTTAGTTTGACTCCAAAAGGCCTTAAGAAACCATTTTTAGCCCATTTTTAACATTATTGACCTGAAATAGACAAAAACACAAATAAGTACTAAAACGGAAAAATAAGATAGATAAAGGTCCTAGAATACTCAAGCTTAAGGGGTTTAAAAGTGTACTTTTCAGCGCTCATCAACGCCTAAATCCGAATAAGGTTGCATTGTATTAATTTTTTAGAACCTCCACCAATCGGTTGGAGGTGGTAGCGGTCACCATCAATTTTAACGATGCCGGCGAAAGAAACTGTGATATAAGAGAGAGGAAGGAGGATAAGGGACTCCTGAAGTAGCGTGTTGTACAGAAAAACAAAGGTTGTAATTTAATAAATAATAAAGGTTAATATAGCCAATGTAATCAATATTTAAGGATAAAATAGTACTCTAATAATATTCCAATATAATCCAACAACCCATGTTTCATGTTTTGAGAAGCCTATATTGGAAGTAGGTATTTGTAGCTTTGGCTTAACGGGCTTTTGATAGCTTCCACTTTTGTTAAAAGCCCATTTCATTAATGCCACCAAACACCCATTTTTTTTTTTAGGAATGCCTTTTTGGGCTTAGAAGCCTGTTTGAAGCCCTAAAATGCTCAGCCAAACAATTGGGACAATTCCAAAAAAATGGTGTTTTGGTGGTCAAATACCAAAAAGATGGAGTCAAACCCAAATTTTCCAAATTAATGAAGTTTTATCAATTGTTAACTTGGACATGGAAATTTACTGTCGATTTTCTTTTAATTCCTAAACTGCCCTATTACAAAATGACCTAACTACCCATTTAATAAGAAATTTCCATGGAGCCCGTGGCTAAAAATCTCAAATACATACCTAAGACTATCCAATCATCATCACAAATCCCAATATCACATTTGCAACAACAAGAACAATTTGCATCATTTCTTGAAAGCCCATACGTACGTGTCCCTAAAAGCTAGAGTCCTTTGTGAAATTCTAAGCAGAGTTGCATTTCAATCCCTACTTGAAATTGTCAAAGAGGTTATCACGCTCTCATATGGTTTTACGATGGCTGCAACGAGAGAGGAGGTGGTGTCAGCAAGGTGACGGCAAATGGTTTAGTATTGGTGTTGGGTAGGTAGTGGTTTTGTTGGGCCGGCAAATTAGTGGTGGTGAAGTTCTTTTGATCAATTTTTAGTGTTTTTTTTTTTAAATTTATTTATCATTTTTTAGTGTTTTTTTCAATTCGACCCTAGGGTTAAGATTTTTGTGGTATACACTAAATCGTAGTGATGATGGAGAGAGATAGAGATAGAAGGGGGGCTGGTGGTGATAAGATAGATAGAGATAGAGTGGAAAGTGGCAGCGACAGTGGTGGAGTGATTATGTTTTGGGTTTCTCGTGATAATAAATCATTTGAGAACAGAGTGTTTCTGAGAAAGAGGGAGGGGGTAGTCTAGTCCTTCAAGGTCAAACCCAGATTCGCCTCAAGGCAGTTTAGGAATTAATAGAAAATCTACTGTAAACTTCCATATCCAAGTCAGCATTTGATAAAATTCCATTAATTTGGAAAATTTGAATTTGACTTCACCTTTTTGGCATTTGACCACCAAAACACCATTTTTTTAAAA